ACCCTGATAGCATTGAGAAAACCAAAAGCTTTCGCCTGAATTGGATGAAAACAAAGGAAGGTCTCAGTCTTGTCGTCGTACACGTGACCCTGATAGTTAACAAAAGTAATCCCATATGTCGCCGGACTCGAGTCTGAGATGAAAAACCCATCACAGAACATCACTCGGGTACAGGGCGGTGGTTCAGTGTTGAAACGGGAACCCCTATACTGAGAAGGTAACTGAGTTGGTCGGTAAGGAATCGAAGAAGGTGTCAAAACTCGAGCTTCTTCCCATTCAAGGATGTCACGGGCCGACTTAATTACTGAAGAGGCCGGGGAAGGGGCCTTACTGTCCAAAATGAAAGCATTCCTTTTTCAAAGTTGAAACCAATCCAAACACCTCTAAAATTTTGCTTTTTAAAAATTTGAAGTTTTTTGCTACCAAATTATTTGGTTGGAAAAACTAAAAATCAATTTGCTACCAAAATTATATGGTTGGAAAACGTACAAATCATTTTGCTACCACATTATTTGGTCTCTTCCAGTTTCATTTGAATATCAATACTTTGACTTTAATAAACAACCAAATTTTTAATATTTTAGCTATCAAAATATAATTGGTTGTATATACTACCCTTTTTGCAACCAATTTCAGTTTGGTTGTAAATTGTTTTGTTGCAAAAGCTAGTTTTGTTGGAGTGTTCCTTTGAAGTTTCAACTATATACCTAGCATGTTGATATGTGTAAGTCACCGCCCCATTGCTTCTACTGATTGCATCGAGCTCATTGACATATATCTCTCTCCTCTCCAGCCCAATCTGATTCTGTTCAGATTACCTTCTAAGTCGTGAATATTTGTGCTTTAATTATCACAGGACACAAAAATAAGTCTCCATAGTCGTAGCAGTAGTCATAGTCGCTGAGCTCTCCATATGAATCTCTATAGGAGTAGTTTTAACTAGGACTGTAAACAATCCAGTCCGGTTAAATTGGACCAGATTTAACCGATTTTTTACAACCGTTTTGAAAAAATCCACGACCTAAGATGTGATTGAATGGGATCCAGTTTTGACTGTGACTGGATTGGATCTGGTCCGGTTTTAACCCAAAAACCAAATTTTTTATTAATACCTCTCAAAATGCCCGCGTTTGAAGACAAATTGAATAAAAAAAATTTAAAAAAAGAACAAAAGAAAGTCCCTCATCTCTCTGCTTCCTCCACTTCGCGACCTTGTCTCCTTCATTTTCAGGATCTGCTTCTTTGTTCTTCTTTCTCTTTCTTCCATCTGCCTCTTCTTCTTCTTCTTCTTCTTCTTCTTCTTCTTCTTCTTCTCTTTGATGAGGCAAGCAGGTTGCCCACTTGCTATGTCAGATCCATTTTACGCCTGCGATGTGAGCATCGCCGTCTATGTCGCCCATGTATGCCTCGACATGCGGAGAGTAGAAGATGACGATTTACAGACCAGGAAGGGTGCTGGGAATCGGTAAGGCGGCGAGTGGCCGAGTGGGAGACGATGATTGAAGAGGACAGTCATTGCCACCGTGCTTGCTTCTTCGTCACCGTGAGGTGAGGTGAGGCCGAGAGAGTTGGACCAATTGTCGTCGTGCTTGCTTCGTCGTCATCATGAGTTGAGGGTAAGGCTGAGAGATTGTGGTTTTGTGGGTGTTTGTGTGAGGGGATTTGGGAGTGGCAGAGAGATGGGGGAGAGAGAGGTCGTCCGTCGCTAGGAGTGGGAAGGGAAGAGAATAGGAGATTGAATTGAGAGGAAGTGGGGAATTGAGAATTGGGTTAGGGGGACTTGGAGTGGGCTAGGGTGAGAGAGAGAGAGAGAGTAAGCTTGGCGTGGGGCTGGCTGGGCTGGCTAAGATAGGTTTTAATTTTTACAACCTGGTTTTTCCGGTTTTAAACGGATCTGACCGGCCCTACTAACCCTAAGTGTAAACTGGATTGGGTTAAAGGATATCCGGTTTCCGAACACAATCGTAACGGGTTTTAACTGACCTGTTTTTGGTTTGACCAGAAAACTAAAACCGATTTCTCAGCCCTAGTTTTAACGTAGATCCCCCAAAAGCTCAAACACGCTCGTTCGAACATTGTTCGGAGAGGTAAGAACTTAGTAACGATCATCTTGGTTAAAAAGTCAGTGGTGCATCGACCAAATCAACACCACCTGAAACAATTTGGCACGCCCGGCGGTGGATATTTGACAATTCTGCAAAAGTTTCCACCGCAAAACAATTAAATCATCATCGCCCAAAACAATTTGGCACACCTGGTGATGGATATTTGGTTTCGCTCTAAACACATATATATGACTATATAATAAAAATGCCATTCATCTCTTTCCATTCCTTTTTTTATTCAATGTGATCATATATGAAACTAACGAATGGGTATATTTGTTCAACATAATAAAAGTTTAGTGCTATTTTATTGTATTTAAAATATTTTTAGGTATTTTTGTCCACAACTTCAATCGTCTTAATATTTTTCGGTATTATGAACATACATGACTTTATTGTTATGCTTTAAATGTTTGTGTCCATATTCTTATTGGGCGAAAGTTATGTGAACATTTTGATAAATTATAAAATTAATCTTCCTAGGTAGTTCTATATCCTACAACGAAATTGACTTTCCGAAGGTGATTTCTTCAAGTCAAGTCAACTAGCTAGCTGGATTAATGTTTAACTTTATTTCAGCTTCTAAAATTCGTACTCTAATAATGCAGCACCATGGCCTTACTCCAAATTAAACATCCCATGTGGTTACCATTATCAATCTCTTTATATATTAATGAAGTGATTAGCATACTGTTAGAGATGACCTCTTCCTTCTTAGGCATAATTCCATGTGCGGTTAGCTGCTTTATTCGCCTAAATAATTGGTAAATTGTTTCGAGAACTAAACTCGAGAATCTGACACTTAATTAAATAAAGGAGCATTATCCTGATTTAATTTTATTGGGCTCTGGAAAAGCAAATTTGGCATGCGGTACACTATTAAGTATTATCATATATCACACATAAGAATTGATAGTTCTGAGTATTTATGAAAACTTCTTGATAGATGTTCAGAACTGCATATGATTAATAATCATTAGAAAGGGCTAAATTACACATTTGGTCACTTAAATTACACAAATCTTTCATGTTTGTCACCCGAATTACTTTTCTTTCTTAATCACCATTAATTTTATGAATCGTTTCACTGTTAGTCACTGGCCATTACACTCTGTTAAATTTGTCCTACATGGCAGTCAACCTTAAAGTTTGACCGTTACCAAAATGACGTGAAAATTTTAAAAAAATTGAAAAATAAATTTCTTTTTCCACCTCATCATTCCACTCACTTTGTCTATATAATTTATCATATTAATTATTTAATAAAAATTAATTAAATTTCAAAAAGTAATTATTAGCCCTCAGAACAATTTCCTCCGCTTCGGCGGAAAGAACCGGATGGTCGCGTCCACCGATCGATGACTTTCTCCTCCCTCGTGTCCAAGGCTCCAAGCTCGCCAAGCTCTCCGGATGAGAGCGATAGCTGTAGTGTTGTTGGTGGTGTTGGTGGGATGGGTGTATCAAAGAACCAATGAGCGACCAGAATTGAGCGCCTCAAAGAACCAATGCTCCTGATTCGTCGACCTGTCGAGAAGCGAGCTGATGGTCTTGGTTCTCAAACTATCCAATTCTCGGTCCCTTGGTGAAGAGGAAGAGTTGGAGGCGAGCTGATGGTCGAGGGTTCTGATTTAGCGCGCCGCGATCGTTCTCCTCCATCACGTTCTTGATGTCCTTGTTCGTCGACAAGGAAATCCGCGCATCGAGATCCTCGTTGGGGAGCTAGACAGCTGGTACTTGACTGCGACGGCAGGGAGGTCATAGAGCTTGGCGAGCTACGAGACGAGGGAGAAGAAGGTTGTTCATCGGACGGCGACCATCCGGCTCACTCCGCCAAGGTGCCAACGTAGCGGAGAAGATCAGGTTGATAATTAATTTCTTTAATTTAACTAATTTTTATTAAATAATTAGTATGATAAATCTAAGTAAGTGGAATGGTGAGGAGGTGAAAAAATATTTTTATAATTTTTTTTTAAATTTCCACTTCGTCTAGTTAACGGTCAAACTTTATAGTTGACTGTCACGTAGGACAAATTTAACGGAGTGTAACGGCCGGTGACTAATAGTGAAACAATTTGTAAAGTTAGTGGTGAATCAGAAAGAAAAGTAATTCGAGTGGCAAACATGAAATATTTGTATAATTTGGGTGACCAAACATGCAATTTAGCCCATTAAAAAGAAAATCTTATGAGTGAAAATGCATGATCCATTTGTATTCTAGGCTATATCATTGTCATATTATATGAACAAATATCAGCAAATAATATTTACAATTTGATTGTTATAGTTTAGTTGGAGTATATGATACATCATATACACCAAAGTGTACCATAGATATGAGATAAAATTTTCAGAACACATGTCGATCTCCTTTAACAAATACAAACCCCAAGTGACTTTCCAATTCCGTACATATTTGTTGATCAAACCAATTTTCTCTCTCTCTCTCTCTCTTTTTTTTTTTTTTTTTTTGGTTCTGGCTTCAGCTAGTAGCCATTTAGTTGCAACCATGGTTGTCATGCCGGTGGCATGCCACTCGGTTGAACTTGGTTCAACCTGTGCCGGTCATGAAACTGGCATGACACCACCGGTATGATCGGTATGATCGACTTACGCATTTTAAGTAAAATGACATCATTTTAATGAACTTAATGAATAAAAAAATTAATTTATTATTCATTTTATGAATGTAATAGCTAAAAGTTGATGATATTTGTTGGATTGTAACTAAATTTTCCACAAATGTGTTTTATATATGATTAAATACATTAGATATTAATTGATTTCACATTTTTTAACCGACATGAACCGGCACAAACTGGTTCTACCACCGGTCTACCATTCCACTTGCCAAACCGGCATAACGGTATAAACCGGTTTGACAACCTTGGTTGCACCCAATTAGAAAGATAATGCTAGGCAGGCGTTGCCGCGTTGGTTATTCTTTTTACTCGATTTTGTTTGAAATAAATAAGACACTAGCCAATTAATTAACAAATACGACAGTTTGGCCGAGTGGTCTAAGGCGCCAGATTTAGGCTCTGGTCCGAAAGGGCGTGGGTTCAAATCCCACAGCTGTCACTTATTTTTTCCCGTGTTTATCCCTTTCCTCCAACAACTGCAGATATGGACCCGAGAATCCAAACAGAAATACAGAATCATATAACAACGCGCGTTCTCCACTTCACAATCTGCAATTCTGCATTAGTTTTCTTTTGCCAACTTGCATGCCTAGTGGCCGTAAGATTCCAAATACTAGCACGTCCTCATTTGGCGGTAGCCGCCGACATGGCCTCATCATAAACCCATGACTACTGCAGAACTTGGAGGACCCAGCAATCTCATTGATGGCTGCATTTACAATTCATACAAGATATCCAAACAAGCAAAGTGGATCAAAATATCCTAGTACGAGGGGGATATGGCTGTCCACCACCAAATCGCCATTGCTACACCAAACCAGCAAGTAGCACAGCACATTCCCACAATTCCTCAAGTCAAATACTTTTTCCCGGCCGCACTGCGCTTCCACGGGGTTTTTAATATAATTACAGCCCACAATAGTACAGTACAACAACTGGGTTTCCCATTGATGAAGTTAAGTACTTTCCTTAACATCATCCCGTGACTTAGAGAAGTCAGTCAACGTCAACTCCTCTTCTACAATATTCCCACTACGTAATCAGCAGCTTCATATATTAATACTCTACTCTCCCCTCATTCCACTTCTCACAAACGAACTCTCATCAATCACACAACTCGAGAGGAAAAAAAGAGAAGGGGAAAAAAATGGAGTCTCAAAAGATGGCTCTGCCTGTGACGTTGCTGCTTTGTTTACTTCTGATGGTCAACACTGTTCTCTCAGCAACAAGACCAACCTCGGCAGCTACAGAGGGTCAAGCCATGAGGGCATTCAGAAAAGGGATTACTGTTGACCCATTGGGGGCACTTGCAGACTGGAAGGATTCAATCCACCACTGCAACTGGTCCGGAGTCCTCTGCGGTCCTTCCTCCCTTTCTCGTGTCATCGCCATTACACTGCCTGGAATGGAGCTCCAGGGTCAAATATCTGCTTCCCTTGCGAACCTGTCTTCCCTCCAGGTTCTTGACTTGTCTTCAAATGCTTTCACTGGCTACATTCCGCCTCAGCTTCGATTCTGCACCCAGCTCACCAACCTCACTTTCTTCAACAACTCTCTCTCGGGCCCTATTCCTTCCGAATTCGGGGCCCTGAGAAACCTGCTTTCCTTAGATGTTGGTGGTAACTATCTCAATGGAACCATTCCTGAGACCCTCTCTAACTGTACTTCCCTGTCAGATTTTACTGCTTTCTTCAACAACCTCACAGGATCAATACCTGAAAGCATAGGGAATCTAGTAAACCTCCGCGCCTTTATAGTATCTGTCAACTTCTTGGTCGGTTCGATTCCCAGTTCCATAGGCAAGCTAGAGAATTTAGAGGTTCTGGACCTGAGTGCGAACGGGTTAACCGGAACCATACCTCCACAAGTAGGGAATCTGTCCAACTTACAGTACTTGTTATTGTTTCAGAATTCGTTCGAAGGGTCTATCCCTTCTGAATTGGGTCGGTGTACCAGTCTCATCAATCTCGAGCTATATCTCAATAACTTCACTGGACCAATTCCCTCAGAGCTAGGAAACTTGAGCCAGTTGGAAACCTTGAGGATGTACGGAAACAGGTTGAACGGTTCGATCCCAGTGTCCTTGTCAGGGTTGAAGTCGTTGAACCGTTTAGGGCTGTCTGAGAACCAATTGAGTGGTGCAATTCCCAGTGGGCTCGGATCTATGGAGTCATTGCAGGTGTTGACCCTGCATTCCAACAAGCTCACTGGGGAAATTCCAACTTCAGTCACAAACCTTTCAAGCTTAACCTACTTGTCCATAGGCTTCAATTTCCTCACTGGGGCACTCCCATCAAATATAGGAGCACTATCAAACTTGAGAAACCTTAGTGCCAATGACAACCTTCTTCAGGGATCCATTCCACCACAAATCACCTATTGTACTCAACTTCTTGCCATAGATTTGACTTACAATAGAATGGTTGGGAAGATTCCGAAGGGAATAGGGAGATTGGAGAATCTGACTTTGCTTTCTCTAGGGGGGAATCAAATGTCAGGGGAAATACCTGATGACCTTTATAACTGTGTTTACCTTGAATCCTTGACCATCGGATATAACAATTTTACCGGATTTCTAAAACCCGGCATTGGCAAACTATACAACCTGAAGAGATTACATCTTAGCTCCAACTCTCTTCAAGGGCCAATACCACCAGAGATTGGCAATTTAACCGCACTGGTTAGCTTGTTGCTGTCTGCAAATAACTTTACAGGCCAAATTCCACCAGAATTGTCTATGCTTTCCAATCTCCAAGGGCTTAGCCTAGATAGCAATGCTCTGGAAGGCCAAATACCAGAGACCCTGTTTGGACTTAAAAGTCTCACAGTTCTATTGTTGGGGGGAAACAGGCTGACAGGCCCCATTTCAGCTGCTATCTCAAACCTCTCAATGCTTTCAACATTGGATCTGCATGGCAACGTGCTTAACGGTTCATTACCAACCAGCATGGAGAGCCTCAACACCATAACATCCATAGATCTCTCCCACAACAATCTAACAGGTCCAATTCCTGGATCAGTGATTGCAGGGATGAAAAGCTTGCAGATTTATCTAAACTTTTCACAGAATAACTTCAATGGCGCAATTCCAAACGAGTTGGGAATGTTGCAAGCAGTGCAGGTCATTGATCTCTCCAACAACAATCTATCTGGTAGCATCCCGAGTACAATTAAGGGCTGCAGCAATTTATTCTCTCTTGACCTGTCAGGGAATCAGTTATCAGGTACAATTCCAGGTGGTGCTTGGAGCGAGATGACTGTGCTTACAAGCTTAAACCTTTCGAGGAATGAGTTGGAGGGAGAAATACCTGGGAATCTAGCTGACTTGAAGCAACTGAACACCTTGGATCTCTCACGGAATCAGTTAAATGGCACAATTCCAGAGAGCCTTGCAAATCTCACCACCTTGAAGCATCTTAACCTGTCCTTCAATCGACTCGAAGGCCAAGTTCCACAGTCAGGAGTTTTCATAGAAATGGATTCATCAAATTTGGATGGCAATCTTGCTCTCTGTGGAACCAAATCTGATGGACCATGCAGCAAGGGGAAAAGTTCAAGCACCTTCCACAAAAAGACGATATGGATTCTTGTGGGACTTGGGGGAGTTTTCGTGCTTCTAGTGATGTTAGTATTGGCTTATGTGCTCCTAAGAAAAGGTGCCAAGGAGAATAAACCAGAAGCTGGCAGCATTTCAGCCGACCCGGATTTTTCTACTGCTCCCGGCAAACTTGCAAGGTTTGATGGTGTACAGCTGGAGAAGGCAACCGAATTCTTCAGTGAAGATAACATAATTGGTGCAAGCAGCTTAAGTACTGTGTACAAAGGTCAACTTGAAGATGGAAGTGTGGTAGCTGTAAAGAAACTCAACTTGGATCAGTTTTCAGCAGAATCTGACAAATGCTTCTACAGAGAAGCCAAGACCTTGAGCCAGTTGAGACACAGAAATCTGGTGAAGGTGCTCGGATATGCCTGGGAGAGCCCCAAGCTTAAAGCTTTAGTTCTGGAATACATGCCTAACGGGAGCTTGGATGGTATCATACACAACCCACAGGTGGTTGAGCAATCGAGGTGGACATTATCCGAGAGAATCGACGTCTGCATTTCAGTTGCAAGTGGATTGGAATATCTGCATAGTGATTATGACTTCCCTATAGTTCACTGTGACTTGAAGCCCTCAAACATACTGTTGGATGATGACTGGGTTGCCCATGTCAGCGACTTCGGTACAGCTCGGATCCTAGGTGTTCATCTCGAAGATATCGGGAATAACCCTAACTCATCATCAGCATTCCAAGGAACCATCGGCTATATGGCACCAGGTAACCTATGCTGCACCCTCCTCTTCTTGTTTAGCTACTCTGTTGCATATATATCCTAGAATTTTCTTACTGAAGACATTTTGACTCTGGATTTCTCTTGATCAGAATTTGCGTACATGAGAAGGGTCACTACAAAGGTTGATGTCTTCAGTTTTGGGATTGTGGTGATGGAGCTACTCACAAAACGAAGGCCAACAGGACTCACAGACGAGCAAGGGCTACCTATCAGTCTGTCTCAACTAGTTCAGAAGGCGCTTGCTCTTATGAACAGCAATGGCATTGGTGAGATTTTAGACCCTGAGTTTCGTGGAGAAGCATCCAAGAAAGAAGATCAACTGGAAAAGCTCTTGAAAATGGCCTTGTGTTGCACCAGACCAAACCCAGAGGATCGACCCAACATGAATGAGGTATTGGCTTCCCTAGAGAAGCTCAGAGAAGCATAAGAAAATATCACGAGCAGTGTTAAGTTTTTGCATCTTTGTTGTAATGAATGGAGACAATAAAGTAAGAGAAGTAGTCACTTTCAACTTCAATGTTGCATTCTAAGAACATCTCTAGTCCTTTTGAGGTGGATCAACCTTCAAATATTCATCAATGGCTGAAGGAAACTCCAAGCCATTCTCTGAGTTCAAAGCAGCCTTACCCAGAAGCAAAAGAGCCAACCTGAAGGGCTCCTTGTGCCCGTCCGCCGCTCCATCCCCCATATACCAATCGATCCATCCATCAAGTCTCCTAACTTCTTCTTCACTCTTAACCCCCAAATTCTTCTTGTAAAATCCATCCCGACGAATCCTTTTCTCCTCATCGTCAATTGCCCGCAAAGCGCTTCTTGTTCCGACATCCGACTCTGACAAACCCAACACCTGCATCATCACCTCGATATCATCCGCACCGCCTGATGAAACGCCGCCGACGCTCGAGCCTTCTCGTGTGTGGTTTTCACGGGGCGGCGACGAATGTGACGGAGATGGAAGAAAAGCCGATGGTGCCTCGCTGCTTTCTTGAAGATCCGCTGAGCTGTTGGCGGCGGCGGGGTGTGGTTGGGCTTGGTGGATATAAATTGGCGTGCTTAGAGATTGAGTTGGGTCGTTAGAGCCTCGTTCTCGCTTTTGTTCCTGCTCACTACTGCTTGCTTCAAGCTTCAGTCTTTTCTCAGCCTGCAAATAACATCCGTTGTAGAAGATGAAATTCAAGCACAATAGTAGATGGGAAATAAAAGAATCCCGTCAAATGACTTCTCCGGCCACTCTATCTTACCTGTCTGAGAGAGGAGAAGAAGAAATCGGAGTGCGCACCGGACGAAGATCTCATTGTTACTTCCGTCAGAATTTCGCTTCCCGCCGACGATGATGAACTTGGCGATTAGGAAGAAATTAAACTAGTGAGATAAAATCCGCTTGCGTCCTAGTTCTTGTCCGTCAAACTAAACGCTGTCGTATACCGGGCAGTGTTTTACGGGAGATATCTTCTTCTCTCCCAATTATCCCAGTTAAATGTTCAACCAGTAAGCTTTTTCCTATTGGATTTGCGGTCCGATAAATGGCTGAGAATTCAGGGAAGCAGCAAAGTGAAAAGCAACAAATTTCAAGTCCTTCCATTGGTTTCCAACAAAAGATTACAAAGGATCATCGAACGCATCCCACCACGAAGACATACAAAAAACAAATCTCACGAGTTCAATGGAACGGGGAAGAAACAGCACCGAAACCCAAATTTACAGATACAACCATTCAATTTCCCCCGCACTAAAACAAGCGCCGTTAAACGAAACCCCATATATCAATCAGCTCAACCATTCAATTTCCCAGATCGAAAGAGTCATTTCTCACTTTCCGGGGACGAAGTTGGTGGCGAAAGCCCAGGCGTTGTTGCTGACGGGATCGGCGATGTGGTCGGCCAGGTTCTCCAAGGGTCCCTTTCCGGTAACGATGGCCTGGACGAAGAATCCGAACATGGAGAACATAGCCAACCGGCCGTTCTTGATCTCCTTCACCTTCAACTCGGCGAAAGCCTCGGGGTCGTCGGCGAGGCCCAATGGGTCGAAGCTGCCGCCGGGGTAGAGTGGGTCGACGACCTCACCGAGTGGCCCACCGGCAACACGGTAACCCTCGACGGCGCCCATGAGGATGACCTGGCAGGCCCAGATGGCCAAGATGCTCTGAGCGTGGATCAGGCTTGGGTTGCCCAAATAGTCAAGCCCACCTTCGCTGAAGATCTGGGCCCCGGCCTTGAACCACACGGCCTCACCGAACTTGACTCCGTTGCGGGCCAACAGCTCGGGGAAGACGCAGCCCAAAGCTCCGAGCATGGCCCACCTGCAGTGGATCACTTCCAGTTCCCTGTTCTTGGCGAATGTCTCTGGGTCGGCGGAGAGCCCGGCGGTGTCCCAGCCGTAGTCGCCGGGGAACTCGCCGGTCAGGTATGATGGGGCCTCGCCGGAGAATGGGCCCAAGTACTTGACGCGGTCTGGGCCGTACCATGGGCTTCCGGAGGAAACCTGCTTGACCTTGCCGGCGGCCTTCCTCATCACGATCCGGCCGCCGTCCATGAGCTCGGAGGCGGAAGGGGAGAGCTTCACGGCCTTGCCGGCGAATGAGGGAGAGGAGAGAGCCATGGTTGCGGCGGCCATTTCGGAAATTGGGAAGGGGATAGGAAGCTGTGAGATGATGAAAGAATGAGAAGATTGTGTTCAAGGATGGAAGTGATGAATTGTGATGCAGGGAGGCAGGTATTTGTATAGAAAGGACTAGTTATCGGAAATCTGGGCAACGATAGGGAGGGGAACTGTTGGAGAGAGGGAATCTTATCTTGAGACTATCTATATCTGTGATCTCATTGGAGGGCAGAGATTTTGGGGGTTTGTCGTCAGTGTCCGACTTGGCATCCGTCTAAGCCACAAGAGTTTCTATTGTCTTTTTTCACTTTCTTATGAGAAATCTGTCACAAGAGTTTCCGTTATCAAATTATAAACTTTTCTACAGGGCTCTTGTGTTGGGACTTAGGAGTTTATACGAATGCTGAAGGATGGGATTTGTGTGAGAAAGAAAGGGGAAATTGGGCGATGCGATTGCGATTGGAGGTTTTGGAGACAGAAGAGAAGTAACTAAGGAGAAGAGGAAGATTGAGGGAAGGGATCGCCTAGATTTAGTTAGGTTTAGGCAATTAATCCTATGTAAATTCATAATGATCACTAAATCCTGTAGTGGGAAATGGTGTCATTCGGATCAGATCCGTTTATATATACGATCTACGATTTAAATCGAGATGTTAAAACACATATATGAACCAGACTACTAGGTTCGTCCAATGAATCTTGATGTACATTCAGTAAGAGATGTGATCCAATTTTTGTACGTATATTAAAATAAATATAGTTATAGCATTGTTATATAAATTATAATTTGAAATAAAATTATTTATTAACTTTCAATTTTTTGAGTATTCTTTGAGAAATCATCGATGATAATTGAAAATGATTTTTCATAGAATACCATAATACAAGTAGAGCTTTTAGAACATAAATAAGAATTTAACGATAAATATACATGTCTCGTATATATGAGAATACTGACCAATAACTAGTCCTAATATTAATTAACAGATTCAAGAGCATCATTATAGTCATAATCAACTAATCATACATCACAAATTCATCATATAATATACCATTGGATCAACTAAATGACCTACGAGTGGAGGCCTCTTAAATTCAAAGGCCCTGTGACAAAGGCCCTCCCTAAACAACTCAGTGCCCGACCCTACAGTACAGTTGAGACCACATCTATGGGTGTTGATACAATGTTGATTTCTATTGCAAGGATCTAGTTAGGACTTAGGAAGAGAAAACTTAAGAATTCCTTATGCGTTTACTGGCTTGTTGCCAACTTGCCATACATATTTTACTAACTACTAATGGAAATAAAGAAAATAACAATAGCATTTCGTTCTCATTCGTCATATTGCTTACCTTAAATCGTATGACAAGTGAGACCCCAACAATTAAAATTAACGATTTCATACAATACATCGAACGTAGTTCGAATCTGTCCTATCAAGGTATTATCTACTCACCCACGTTTGGGTGGTAATACCCGACCTGCAGTAGCGTGGGCCGTGGAGCAAGATATGAGTACTACTTTCGATATACCTTGTTTCGCCCTGTTCTAGACTCGTGTTACCTTAGTTTGTCTCAACATTTCTCCTGTTTTGATTTATCTTTAACTCATATTCTCGCCCAATGATATTCTAAATATGTGCTAGACTTTATCTTTCAACTATTTGAACTAAATTAGTCTACCTTTTACCGCTATTTTCATTTATGAACTAATTTCATTTTGTTTTATCACTAAAGATAAATGTTTTATTCAAATATTATATAAGAATGAGTCGACCAGTCCCTACCTGTACTCATGTGGGTATTACCCGACCTGACTCGCAGTAACTGCAAAGCGGATATGGATAATTGAGATACAGGTCCTGCCCGCTCAATTGCCACACTTGATCCAATATATTTGACTGTACCTGAATTTCATTTCATTCATATAATGATCATACATTAATTGGTTATCATAATCAAATGCCACATTTAGTCACTGAAATTATTAAATCATGTCATGTTTAGTCATTAGAAAAAATTAATATCAATTTTGGTCACTCGAATTATTGAAACATGTCACATTTAGTCACTCTCCCATTAGTTTCCGTCCAACTCCATATGGGAAAGTGACTAAATGTGACATGTTTCAGTAATTCGAGTGACATTCATAAAAAAAAGTAATTCGAGTGACCGGAGTTGGACGGAGGCTGACAGGAGAGTGACTAAATGTGACTTGTTTTTAGTAATTCAAGTGACCAAAATTGATATTATTTTTTTCTAGTGACTAAACATAACACGATTTAGTAATTCCAGTGACCAAATGTGACATTTACACCAATTTTTCATATCACATTTCAAACTCATCTATGTTTTACACATCTTCCACTATCGATACTACAATGATGAATAATCCCTTGGGCATCTGTTACGCTAGATGTGGTACTGGCCCATCACACCTACAGGCTACAACCACGCAAAAATTCCAATGAACAAACAAAAACATAATTGATTATTGAGTTTGCTAGTGAAGGAGATGCCACCTCACTCCGTGATCCATCTAATATCTGTGCCACTATCCTCAGGCACACGTGGCATTTCTACATTGGATGGAGCTCACACCTCACTACATTTCCACAAGATTTTTTTGCAGCCCCAAAATCATAACATCCCCATAGCCCACCTGTCAAATGGAAAATTTAGCCTCCAGATGTCCCCAAAAATCAACCGCCAATAACACTTCAGAAAATAGATATTCTTTGGATAAGTACTCCATTTCCCTAAGCCCATATAAATATGGAACCATCAAGAAAGCCCAAACTCCACAAACCAACCGTACAACCATCTTCCTTTCCTCAAGCAAGCAAAGCAAACACCTTTCTTTCTCTTTCAGCTCTAAGCAGCAATGGCCGCCGCTACCATGGCTCTCTCCTCTCCTTCCTTCGCCGGCAAGGCAGTGAAGCTCTCCCCTTCCTCCTCCGAGATCATGGACGGCGGCCGGATCGTGATGAGGAAGGCCGCCGGCAAGGTCAAGCAGGTTTCCTCCGGAAGCCCATGGTACGGCCCAGACCGTGTAAAGTACTTGGGCCCATTCTCCGGCGAGGCCCCATCATACCTCACCGGCGAGTTCCCCGGAGACTACGGCTGGGACACCGCCGGCCTCTCCGCCGACCCAGAGACTTTCGCCAAGAACAGGGAGCTGGAGGTGATCCACTGCAGGTGGGCCATGCTTGGAGCTTTGGGCTGCGTCTTCCCCGAGCTGTTGGCCCGCAACGGAGTCAAGTTCGGTGAGGCCGTGTGGTTCAAAGCCGGGGCCCAGATCTTCAGCGAAGGTGGGCTTGACTACTTGGGCAACCCAAGCCTGATCCACGCACAGAGCATCTTGGCCATCTGGGCCTGCCAGGTCATCCTCATGGGCGCCGTCGAGGGTTACCGTGTCGCCGGTGGACCACTCGGTGAGGTCGTCGACCCGCTGTACCCCGGCGGCAGCTTCGACCCCTTGGGCCTCGCCGACGACCCCGAGGCGTTCGCCGAGTTGAAGGTGAAGGAGATCAAGAACGGCCGCTTGGCTATGTTCTCCATGTTCGGGTTCTTCGTCCAGGCTATCGTCACCGGAAAGGGACCCTTGGAGAACTTGGCCGACCACATCGCCGATCCCGTCAGCAACAATGCCTGGGCTTTCGCTACCAACTTCGTCCCCGGAAAGTGAGGAAAGACTCTTTGATCTGGGAAATTGAATGACTGAGCTGATTGATTTCTGGGGTTTCGTTCTACGGCGCTTGTGTGGGGGGAAATGTTGTATCTGTAAATTTGGGTTTCGCTGCTGCTTATTCCCCATTCCATTGAAGTTGTGAGATTTGTTTTGTTGTAATCTTTTGTCGGGAACCAATGGAAAGACTGGAACTTTGCTGCTTTACACTAGCTGCTTCCCTCAATTTTCAGTCAATTATCGACAGTAAATCCAATCGGACAAAAGCTTAATGGATGCTTGAACATTTAACTGGAGCAATTCGGAGAGAAGAAGACAGACAGCTCCCATAAACTAAATCTTAATGTTTGAGGGCTTCAAGTCACAATGAACTGTAGGGAAGTCATAATCGATACGCAGATAGTCCTATCCACTTGCAACTGAAATACAGACGATGATACTCTCGGATGATCTCGATAATTACACGACTCCAAAAAGAACACGCTGATGCATTATCATTCTCGCCGTCAACTATCATTAGTATTAGGACTAATATCACTAGGAAATCCGAAATATCAATAATTACATTTGTGTTCCAAACTATTCAATATAATATTTATGTTCCAATATATGATATTTGTGTGTCATTTGTGTCATGATGATTTTGTTGACCGTTAAAGCTAACGGTTGACCAAACGGTGGTCAACTTAATGTTGACTTTTGTTGACGTGGCAAAAACGTAAAAAGTGAAAACACGTAGATGCCACGTCATTTACACCTAAGTTTTTTAATTCAAAATTAAATAGAAACTAAAATTAAAAAATTAAAAAAATATGTAAATTAAAAAAAATGTATACGACGATTCTGAGGCATGGTTCTAGGTGCTCACGGATTATCCCACACAAAAATTCAAACCCGAACCATGCCACGGTGGCTACCAACCACCACTCAAGCATAACATTTTTCATCATTAAAAAATTAGCACTTGCTGGGCAAATTTCACAAATAAAAGCAATTCCAATCAAAACATGCCCACCAAGGCTCAACTAAGCTCAAGCAACATCATTCAATCATTCAATCATCCTAATTCAACGAATTCCTCGCCCTAACGCTAAGTTTAACATTCAATTCACCAAAATTATCCTCACTTCACTACCTAATCTGATTCTCCCAAAATAAATAAGGTAGAGCTGAAAACTAACATGGAGACTCAAGTAGGAATGGTAGGGAGGTGAGAAGAGGGTGAGGAAGGTGAAAAATTGGCCGAAAATAGAACGAAGGAGGTTGTCGGAGCTTCTTCGGAAGCTCATCGGAGTCTCGCCGGAGCCTCACCGTCGGCGACTTCACCGGAAGAAAAATGCTCCAAATCCCCCCAAAATATCAGCGAAGGCCGCTTTTAATGAGGGGGGACTAGGTCTGGTCTTGGTTTTGGATTTGGCTAGCCGGAAGTGGAGGAAATTAGCAAAAACCGTTGGATTTTCGCGGTTTTCCGGCGAGTTTTCAAAATTTTGACGAGATTTTGGGTCGTGAAGAAAACCGTTCACGGCCCTTTTATAGGCAGACCCTGCAGTTCACGGATGCGTTTGCCAGTTCATGGTCGTTAAGATCGTGAACACTGCAATCCGTTCGTGAATACATGCCAGTCGATGGGTTTGACACACGTGGAAGCACCCTGGTTCACAGATGCGTTTGCCTGTTCACGGTCTTATAAGACCGTGAACAGGGCAATCTGTCTGTGAACACCGGTGAAAATAGGACACTTCAAAAAAATTTTACTCGACCTACTCCACCGTGCTACTATCATTCACGACACAACTCAAAACACGCAATGACAAAAACATAGCACGGGGAGACCACTCGACCACTTGAACTCTTCACTCGATACAAAAACGAAAATAAGGAAAAGAAAACAAACCTACATTGGGTTGCCTCCCAACAAGCGCTAAGTTAACGTCACTAGCTTGACGTTGCGGATCTATCATGCCTTTGAACGTGGTGCCACCGAGAGTGGATCCACCACGTTCTCGGGCGAGGCATGTCACCTCCCAACTTGCCATGGGGTGGCCTTCTATGCCAATGACTTTCGCTTTGCCCTTTTCCTTCCACATGGCATTAGCATAACTTATCCTTTCCATCCAAGCTCGTTTCCTTCCTTCTTTGGCCGAGATTCCCTCCTTGCTTTCCTGCTTCACATCATCACATGAACCAACAGTAATAGTGGGGTTCGCCTAGCAAGGCTCTCCTCTACTTAAATTCATATCACTCGGTTCCACTTCCTTCACATCTTCACTCCTAGGCTTAGGATCAATTCCCAGAGTAATTCTCTCCTCACCATCTCTCAGGATCAAAGTTCCCTCATTTACATCAATTAAAGCCTTGGCGGTGGCAAGGAAAGGGCGTTCTAGTATGAGTGGCATCTCAGAATCCTCAGTTATATCCAGGATCACAAAATCCGTCGGATAACAAAATTTTCCCACTCGTACTAGCACGTCCTCCACTATGCCCCTAGGACTAATGACAGAGCGATCGACCAATGTGACACTAAGCCTCGTAGTCTTTAGTTCACCTATGTCTAGCCTCTTAAAAAGATTATAAGGAATCACATTTATTCTCGCTCCTAAGTCCGCCAAGGAGTTTTCTATGTGATGAGAACCGATGCAAAGAGGTATAGTAATACTACCTGTATCGGGTTGCTTCTTGGGCAACCAGTTGAGGATGAAGGTTGAGCACTCCTAGCCTAGGGTGACATTGGCGAGGTCTTTGAACTTCGGCTTCTTGGAGAGATACCCCTTGAGGTATCTCGAATACCTTGGCATGTGGGCCATTGCTTCAAGGAAGGGAATGTTGAGGTGGAGCTTCCGGAGCAACTCCATGAAACCTCCACATTCCGCTTCCAATCTTTCCTTGTGCACCCTCGTGGGGAAAGGTAGGGGTGGCGTTTACTCAGCCACAGGTGGTGACGTCGGCACTGCCTTCCTCGCCACTCCTCTCTTTTCTCAAGATGTTTCTTCTTCATCACCCTTGGGTAGAGGGTCTTCCTTCTCATTCACTTCTTTGGCAACAACCTCTGGAGTCACCTTCCCGCTCCTCAAATGGATTGAATTCACCCTGGCATTATCCTTGGGGTTAGTAATGGTTTGAGAGAGTAGGGCTCTTTGTGATCTCTCGGTGAGGATCCCGACAAGATTGCTAATTTGCACTTCCAAGTTTCGGAGACTTGCTTGATGGCTCTGGAGTCCCGCCTCTACCGAGGTAAACTTGGAGGTTTTCACATCCATGAATTGCTCAATCTTCTCGAACTTCTAAGAGCTTGTACTCATAAAGGAGGTCACAAGGTCTTCATGTTTAGAGAACTTGTCGACTTGTTGTTGTTGTTGTTGTTGAAACCCTTGACTGCCTTGTGATTGGTATGGTTGTTGGAAGTTCAAGTTTTGGAATTGAGGCCTTTGTTGGATGAAGGTTGGCCGAGGTTGATAGTTGCCTGACTCACTTCTACTGTCACTCCAGGAATTGGCCAAGTGTAACCACTTCCTAAAGCGTAGTATAGCGGGTTTGGGTTTAATTATCAAATCGGGTCCTAGATTTGATGACTACTCAGTGAATTCTTGTTATCTAGCAATGAAACTGGAATGCAAGTCTAAACTATCAAACTAACAAAGCAAACAAACGGTTGTATTCAGGTTAAGAGAGGTCACCCGGATATGGTTCCCCCTAGACTGCAGTTAAGCCGGATTGTAATTACCAAGTTCAGTTTCTATGAAAGTTATACTGCGGAAGGTTCTTGAACACCCTAAAGTCTCGACTAAAGGTCTTCAGACCCTCTCAATCTGAGTCTCTAGCGGGCGACTAACCTCCACCGGAGTAAACAGATTGAGGCCTTAACAAACAAAACCTCCACTACCGGAGTAAATCCAGTATAGAATAGTGAGTTGGCTCCTCGACTAAAGTCACCAACTTCCTACCTTCAATCAAGGATGCTCTATCAACCTAGGCAGATATTCTCATTCTAGGTCAAAGCAGAAACAACAGGAATTTGATCAGGATTCAAGTCATTCAATCATTCAAACCTCAATCGAATATAATCAAATCATAGAATCAGTACTTGGGTTCATACAATCAAAGCCTAACATACAAATCTAGGGTTCTCCATACCCAGATGAATGGGAGAACTACTCCATAGAGAAAGAGGCAAAAGCAGAATCAGATGCGGAATTCATACTGTGAAGGATGGATTCCTGCTCCTGGACGTTGATCGGCACTTCTCCAAGCTCAAACTGGCCTCCAATGGTGTTGAAGAACAATCTAGGGCACTTGGAGACTCTTGTTTGTCGCTTTCTCTCTCTAGGAATCGTTCTCTCTCTCAAAAACTCGAATCCCCTTCTGTTTGGCTGAAAATCTGCTTAAAAGGGCATCAGTGGCCAAAGCACGGTCGAGGGCACGGCCGTGCTTTGCCTCAGCCCGCCCGTGTTTTGGCTAGGGTTAATTACACGGCCATTGTGTTGGTGCAAACACGGCCGTGCTTTGGGAGAACACGCCCGTGCTTTGGGAGAACACGCCCGTGCTTTCAGCCCGTGTTTTCAACTTGAATTTGCCAAACTCAATTAGCTCTCGGCAGTAAAAGCACGGCCACAGAACACGGCCGTGTTCTGGTTTAGGTGTGCCCGTGTTTTCGCTCCAGCTTGACGAAATGACTTCCGAACACCCCGAAACTCGTGCTTAGCCTTTCCTTTGATGCCTGGGACCTGAAATATGACAAAATAGCACAACCCGGCGTAAAATAGGCAAAAAATACACGACTATGCCCCTCAAACGGATAAGAACTAGGGGCGCAAATATGTGCAATTACATCGTTATCAAATTCCCCCACACTTAACTGTTTGCTTGTCCCCAAGCAAACCTAACTCAAACCAATGCAACTCTCCAGACCTCTATAGCAACAAACAACCCAGATCGTAGGTAGAGGACTTCCTAGATCATTTAGCAACTTACGAGGTCAACCGACGCACAAGTCATCTCATAGCTTCTTCGGCGAGAGCACTAGTATCGAGTCGGCATCATGGCAAATAGTGAACAGACGACAAATGAATTGTGGATGAAGAGATTCTCAAAAACAAAAGATCATGGACTCACATTTTTCAAGGTGCTCTATTTTCTTCTTGAAGATGGTTGGAACCCCTTTTCTTTCTGTTTTGCTTGTTTTCTGTCATTTTTTTCTTTTTTTCAAGGGTCCCAACTGGCTCTTACCGGCCATGCCAGCAGCGGATGTCTCGAGCCTCATGCGGGGGAAAGACATGTAAGGGGGCTGGAGGTAGTAGGTGGAAATTGGGAACGAATTCCCGTCTCCCCTTACACACTTTCGCCCTATTCGCACGGGAGACGTTATTTTGAAGCACATTTTGGAGCACCTGTTAAACTCAAAACAAGAAACAAGAGTCCATGACAGGTAGAGAGTCCACAACACCACACAATCCAAGGGTCCTAAGATCACTAATTCACTCAATCAACCAACACAATATGAAGAAGAAATGAGACTTCTTAAATGCATCAACATCCTCCATAGTGCTACACTACCTCCCTAGGTTGCATATTACTATAAAGACTATCAATTCAAAGCATACTGAGCAGGCAATTGCACGGAACACGTACTTGGAGCCCTCAAATTTAAAAATTTGGACAGTAGACTAGGCTCCAAGCACACAAACAGATCTAATGCAGTCAAAGATAAACACCCCCCCACACTTAAGATCGACATTGCCCTCAATGGAGAAGAGGGAACGAAAAGGGGAACGATGTTACCGGTATGCACAGACTGCAGGGGACTAGAAGCTGACCAGTCGGAGTGAAGCGGACTGGAGAGAGGACCAGTCAAGCCAAGCACAGCCAAAGGAAACCAAAGAGCTCAAACACAAAATGTTAGGTCCAATGGTCAGCCCAATAATACATCATCCAAAACAAAAGAAAACAAACCAAAACCAAACTGGTTTACAATCCGACTCAAAACGCAAGAAAGAAAGTCAAACCGTGGTGGGGTTGCCTCCCCACAAGCGCTTCTTTACCGTCTTTTAGCTGGACGCCCATGGTGGATACTCAGGGAAGTGAAGGAACAGGTGCCTCCAAGAGCGGATCCACGTCTCTCTTGAGGTACAGCTTCAGGTTGTGGCCATGCACCCGACGGATGCGACCACCATCATCAGTCAGCTCGACCTGCCCATTTGGCAAGATGCAGGCGAGTGAGTACCCGGACGGCCAGGGTGGTCGTGGTGCAGAAGGTGGGACCAGCTCATAGTGGTCTCCACTCTTCTTCCGTGCAGGCTTAGCAACCTGCTGCTTCGGCCGCCACTCCTCCTTGAGCTTTTTGTTCGGAGGCGAGACTGGATGGAGTGGCGACGAAGGAATGAGAGGAGGGTCCTTCAAAATAAGAGGTGCAGAAGGATACACGACAGGCTCGTGTACCTGATCAGAAATGGCATGCACAGGTGTGACAGCAATCATAGCACAGTGATCAAATTCAGTCACAGAAAAAGTAGCCTGTTCATTCCCAGCACGCAGGATCTTACCATCATGCACATCAATAAGTGCCTTGGCGGTGGCAAGAAATGGTCTACCAAGAATCAAAGGCACATCCACATCCTCATGTATATCAAGAATAACAAAATCAACAGGATATGTGAATGCACCGACCTTGACAAGCAGATCCTCTATGATTCCCCTATGATGCACAATGGAACGATCAGCTAGCTGAATGCTTATCCTAGTAGGGCTAAGTTCACCTAGGTCTAGCTTTTTATACAACTTATATGGCATGACGTTTATGCTAGCGCCTAGGTCCGCCAAGGACTTGCCTACATGCATGCTGCCAATAGTAAGAGGGATAGTAAAACTCCCTGGATCCTTGCGCTTTTCGGGCAGCTTGTTCTGCAGGATAGCAGAACACTCCTCGCTCAGCAACACTGTCGAGAGATCCCCAAGTTTCTTCTTGTTGGTGAGGAGATCTTTCATGAACTTGGCATACTTGGGCATCTTCGACAGTGCCTCCACGAACGGTATGCTGATGTTGAGCTGCTTCAACATTGCCATAAACTTGGCAAACTCAGTCTCCAACTTGTCTTTGTGTAGGCGAGTGGGGAAGGGAAGCTGGGGTACATGCTCCTTAACCACTGGTTGTGGCTTGGGAGCAGGGGCTTCCTTCTCCACCCGCACTTCTGCATCGTCGGCTGGAAGTGCTGAAGCAGGTAGTGGTTCCTCCTGTCTGGCCGGGACAGGATCAGCAGATATGGTCTTACCGCTCCTGGTAAAAATGGCATCCAGCTGCTGGAGCTGGTGAGGATCCCGAGGATTCGGGATAGTGGTGGCAGGCAAAGTCCCCGGCGCCCTGGTGGTGTTTTTGCGGGCCAAGATGCCCACCTGGGTCTGCAGATCCTGCAAAATGGCACCCTGGTTCCGCTGACCTGCCTCCAGTGACGTGATAGCAGCCTGAGTGCTAGTCATGAATGAAGCTAGAATATTTTCCAGCTTTGTCATCCGGTCATCTAGGGCTGGAGCTGCTGCTGGCTCGGCAAACTGGCGCTGGGGCTGCTGGAATGGTTGCCCCTGCCTAGGCTGGTAGGGCTGCTGCTGTGGGGCTGGCCCCTGTCGAGCCTGGAAGGGCTGCCTCTGTTGAAAACCACCTGCTGGTGCTGGGAAACCAGGTGGTTTAGTGGTGTTGCTGCTCCAGGCAAAGTTGGGATGCTGGTGCCACCCCTCATTATATGAGCTGCTGTACGGGTCAAGGCGCCGAGCATTGGCGATGAAGTCCAACTGCTCTTGGGGAGTGGTAGACTCCCTCATAGCCTGGCAGTCCTCCACTAGGTGATTCGAGCTCTCACACCACTGGTATTGAGCAACTGGAGGTGTAGCCAAACCTCTGCCCGGAATAAGACTGTTGGGCTGCTTCAACGTCTGCACTAGCTCAGCTACCTGCTGCTCGAGCCCGGATCTGGTCTCCATGGCGTGCACACCACGGTCCCGGGACTGTCTGCCTCGGCTACCCTGTCCCCAAGAATGATCTCTGGCAGCCAAAGTACTGATCATCTGGTTCAGCTCGGGTGGAGTCTTAGTAAGAACATCCCCTCCTGGGCATAGAGACTCAATCACCCTCTGGCTGTCTGGAGAGAGAGCACTGTAGAAGTTCCCCACTGTGAATGCATCACTAAAGCCATGGTGGGGACACTGCTAGAAATATCCCATGTACCGCTCCCATGCATCACGAAGTGACTCATCTGTCTCTTGGCGGAAGTGAGTGATCTCCCGCTGTATCTCTGTAGTCTTCGATGCCGGATAGTACCTGTGCACGAAGTTGTCAGCCAGATCGTCCCAAGAGGTGATGGACAATGGGGGCTGGGTCTCCAACCACCTCTTAGCATTCCCCGCCAGAGAATGGGGGAAGAGATGAAGGCGGATTGCATCATCCGGGACACCATTCAGCTTGAACCCGTTCGTCAGCTACAGAAAACGGGAAAGATGCACCCTGGCCTCCTCATCCTTCAAGCCATGGAACTGGATAGAAGATGTAATGAGCTGAATCCAGCATGGCTTGATCTCGAAGTTGTTTGCTGGAATAGGCGGGTAGAGGATGACAGGGCGGATGTCAGCAATCCGAGGAGTGTAGTAGTACTCCAAGGTGGGACCCGGCGGCGGATGATGATGATGAACTCCATGATCCTGGGGTATGGGGTTGTTTCCCAGGACCTGATTCACCGGGGGAGCCTGCTGAGGATTCCCCTGGTGTTGATTGTAGTCTCCGTCCATCCCGTACTTTTCTTCAGAATCGCTACTCAAGTGGCCGTCTAGGCGCTCTTCCGTAGCCAGTCTAGCTCGCTGTTGTCTCCTGAGTTGGCGACAGGTGCGTTCAATCTCTGGATTCAACGGCAGTAAACCTCCCGGCTGGCTACGGGTCATGCACTACCTGCACACACTCAAGCAAGGAAACCCGTGAAGACACAAGTGGGACAAAGCAAACAAAGCAAAAAGAAAAGCTAAATTAACATAAATCACTTTTATTCAACAACCTAGCCGTTCCCCGGCAACGGCGCCAAAAACTTAACTCACTTCTACTGTCACTCCAGGAATTGGCCAAGTGTAACCACTTCCTAAAGCGTAGTATAGCGGGTTTGGATTTAATTATCAACCCAGGTCCTAGATTTGATGACTACTCAGTGAATTCTTGTTATCTAGCAATGAAACTGGAATGCAAGTCTAAACTATCAAACTAACAAAGCAAACAAACGGTTGTATTCAGGTTAAGAGAGGTCACCCGGATATGGTTCCCCCTTGACTGCTGTTAAGCCGGATTGTAATTACCAAGTTCAGTTTCTATGAAAGTTATACTGAGGAAGGTTCTTGAACAACCTGAAGTCTCGACTAAAGGCCTTCAGACCCTCTCAGTCTGAGTCTCTAGCGGGCGACTAACCTCCACCGGAGTAAACAGATTGAGGCCTTAACAAACAAAACCTCCACTACCGGAGTAAATCCAGTACAGAATAGTGAGTTGGCTCCTCGACTAAAGTCACCAACTCCCTACCTTCAATCAAGGATGCTCTATCAACCTAGGCAGATATTCTCATTCTAGGTCAAAGCAGAAACAACAGGAATTTGATCAGGATTCAAGTCATTCAATCATTCAAACCTCAATCGAATATAATCAAATCATAGAATCAGTACTTGGGTTCATACAATCAAAGCCTAACATACAAATCTAGGGTTCTCCATACCCAGATGAATGGGAGAACTACTCCATAGAGAAAGAGGCAAAAGCAGAATCAGATGCGGAATTCATACTGTGAAGGATGGATTCCTGCTCCTGGACGTTGATCGGCACTTCTCCAAGCTCAAACTGGCCTCCAATGGTGTTGAAGATCAATCTAGGGCACTTGGAGACTCTTGTTTGTCGCTTTCTCTCTCTAGGAATCGTTCTCTCTCTCAACAACTCGAATCCCCTTCTGTTTGGCTGAAAATCTGCTTGAAAGGGCATTAGTGGCCAAAGCACAGTCGAGGGCACGGCCGTGCTTTGCCTCAGCCCGCCCGTGTTTTGGCTAGGGTTAATTACACGGCCATTGTGTTGGTGCAAACATGGCCGTGCTTTGGGAGAACACGCCCGTGCTTTCAGCCCGTGTTTTCAACTTGAATTTGCCAAACTCAATTAGCTCTCGGCAGTAAAAGCACGGCCACAGAACACGGCCGTGTTCTGTTTTAGGTGTGCCCGTGTTTTGGCTCCAGCTTGACGAAATGACTTCCGAACGCCCCGAAACTTGTGCTTAGCCTTTCCTTTGACGCCTGGGACCTGAAATATGACAAAATAGCACAACCCGGCGTAAAATAGGCCAAAAATACACGACTATGCCCCTCAAACGGATAAGAACTAGGGGCGCAAATATGTGCAATTACATCGTTATCATTGCCCGTCGGACCTTGGAAACCGGGAGGTCTTGGATTGGTAGGGGAAGACCAAGCGAAGTTTGGATGATTGCGCCACCCGGGGTTGTATGTGTTGCTATAAGGGTTATTTCATCTAGCATTGGCAACGAAACTCACTTGCTCCTTGGGGGTACTTGTCTCCTTCATGATTAGTGCTTGAACACCAGTCACAAGACATCACCACTCTCTTTCCTTGCTTCTTGTCCTCAAGGATCACCTCGATCAACTTGTCAAGCTTCGCTTCAAGTGGAGCACATGCTCCCACACTTCGCACTCCTCTTTCGGTGCTTCTCTTCCCACTTCTTGTCAAGCCCCAAATATATCCCTTGAGATCCATATCTTCGAGAAACTCGGTCACTTGAGGAGGGGTCATGTTCATTAACTTCCGTTGGCAAAGAAAGTCAATGAGGATCTTGTCATCTTGAATGAGACCTCCATAGAAAGTTTATATAAGAAATTGCTCCTCGAATCCATGGTGAGAGCATTAGAGGAAGTAGTCGGAGAATCTTTCCCATGCATCCCTCAATGCTCATCCTCCTCTTGCTCAAAGTGAGTGATCTTCTTCTTCCACTCGGCCGTCTTGGAAGGAGGACAATATCGGGTAATGAACTTGTTGAGTAGGTGACGCTCCAAAACACAACACCAAATTGCGACCAAGTGTAATCGCAGTCCGGAAATGCAGTAACAGGCAAGCTCTATTTGTCAACCCGGGGTCTAGATCTACTGCCTACTCCATGTATATCTGTTATCTAGCAAACTAAGTTGAGTGATTGTTGATTTAAGTAAAAGCAGTAAGAAAGCAGGAAATGGTTTGGTTTTCTAAAGCAAAGGAAGAGTCACTCAGGAATGAGTCCCCCTAGCTCCTTAGTTAGGTCACAGTTGTAATTACTTTTGGTTGCTTTACTGCTGATTATACTGCGGAAGATCCGACAGTGGCTTGGAATCTCTTAAGTTGACCAAGCCCTCTCAGTCAAACTACCCGGCAGAAGACTAGTCTTCACCAGGATAGAACGCTAAGGCAATGAACACAGAACTCCACTACTGGAATTGGATTCCAATACAAAGCAGTGAATCGACCAACTCTCGTATAATCGATTCACTACTACCGAATGAGAAGATCTAACAACCTAATTAGATTCTATCTATCTCAGGTTGCAGCAGAAATCAATAAAAGATGATCAAACTTCAATTGACTCAATCAAAACACTTCAATCGATTATAATCAAGCAATATCACAATTCAAACGCAATTACAATCAAGATTCCTAACACATGGAACTAGGGTTCTTCATACCCAAATGAGAGAAAGTTCTACTCCATAGAGAAAGAGAGGAAAACAGAAATCAGAGTATCATACTCATAAAGATGAGGATAATATGCTCTGGGATGATGATCTTCACTCCTGGGGATGCAATCTGGGCTTCAATGGTGAGAAATCCACTCCAAATAGCTCCTAGGGTTTGTTCTTCGCACTTTCTCTCTCTAAAACTCTATTTTTGCTCCAAAAAAGTCGACTCCCTCTCCTTTGGCTCGAATCTGCCTGAAAAACCCGATTCTGGACGAATTACGGGCAGAATTACGGTCGTAATCATGGTCTGCGCGTAATTGCCCAAAACGCGCGTTTCACTTAACTCAGAAGAAAGGATTTACGGTCGTAATTACCCAATTACTGCCAGTAATTATGGAATTACGACCGTAATCAGTTTGACTCTTGTCCGTAATTACTCTGCGACAGGAATTCTCAGAGATTTAGGCTCGGCATTGCATTTACCGGCATGACAGAAGCGATTACGGTCGTAATTGGGCAGGGGCTGCCCGTAATTCTTCCTCCGCCCCTGTTTAATGCTTCGTTTCTCCCTTGTCCGGACTCCGAATCAGTCGCCGTTTGATCCCAAACGCTCGTAGTATCGTCCTCTTTCTTTCCATAACAAAATTCCATGATTTTTTGTCCATAATATGAGGTAGAAGTCCATTATTCCTCAGGTCATGCTCGTGTTTCTTCTCCCGAATTGCCAAATGATCTCTGATTGACTTGAAACTTGCGCCTATGCTTCAATTTACATGCTAGGACCTGAAATGTGACAAAGGAACACAACCTAGCGTAAAATAGTCCAAGAAGGTAAAAACTCAAGCCAAAATGATCAAGAAACGAGGGTGCAAACATGTGCAAATATGATGTTATCAGTAGGTCGTCCCAAGAGGTGATGGATAGAGGCGGACGGTTGTTGAGCCATCGGAGTGCCTTCCCCACCAAAGAATAGGGGAAGAGCTTCAATAGAAATGCCTCCTCGGGGATGCCATTTATCTTCAAGCTTCCCGCTAGATCATGAAACCTTCGGACATGCTCTCGTGGTGATTCATGAGCAAGCCTGTGGAAGTAGGCATTTTGTTGAATCATCGTCACAAGAGAGGGCTTGATCTCAAAGTTGTTGGCGGCCACGGGTGGATGTAAGATGGGAGATTGGATATCCGCCGCCTGTGGAGCCATGTAATAGCCCATAGTCCTTGGCTCTTCCTCTTCTCCTGCTTCCACATTTGGGTTTGAAAGCGGAATAGCCCCTCGGTGTTGATTTCCCGCCATCTCAACTTCTCATTCAATTCCTTCAAATCCAGGACCAACTTGTTGTCCCCTTTCTTCACTTCTCCTTTTCCCCTTCGCTTGCTCCCTCTCTCAAGCTAAAAGTTGGAGAGTCTGGTTGATATCCTCGTCCAGTGGTGTTAAAGGCACCGGATTGTTCTGAGTCATGCACCTTCCTACACACACTTAAAGAACACAACACGTCTAACACAAGCAAACACTTCACAACTTAACAAAAAACATAAATTAAAAGCTAGATTCACACCAAACAAAATTTTCACGATAACCAACCGAAGTTCCCCGACAACGATGCCAAAAACTTGGCTCGCTCTGACTATCACAATAAAATTTCACCTAAGACCCAAGTATAAACCATGGATCAGGAAATCGTAGCGTCTCAGCTAGTTGAACCGGAAACCAGACCAGATCCGATACAGTACAGATTGTGCAGCGAGATCAAGGTACCGACTGGTATTGAGAGTTGAATCGTTCTACCACGAAATGCCGGCCGATTTTGATCCAGCCGACAGTCCTTCAAACCCAGCTAAAACTTCATAGTTTCATTCAACGAGGCACTCTCCACTCTCCAACCTCGCGCAGCTCTTTGTTTTCCCCTGCAGCGCGCGATCAGATCTGAGAAGAGAAGGTTGTCGTCATTTGTATTTCCCGACCGAGCTCGAGAACGAGAAGGCAGCGTAGTTCGTCTTTCGTCTTTTTCGGCCAAGCCCGAGAACGAGAAGGTCGACTTCGTCCTTCGTCTTACCTTTGGCCTTCCGATCTGAGAACGAGAATGTCGTTGTCGTAGCCCATCGTCTTCTTCTCTATTCTCTGCCCGCACGTTCGTCGTCTGCACATCGATTCACCGAGGGCGACCACTACTGATTAGGGATTTTTGATTTTTTGACCAAAAAAGGAAATATGAAAGCTGGAAACTAGATGAGGAAAGAACTCAATTGACAAAAGGAAGGGAATTACCCAAAAGTGAAGACTGAAGACGTCCTCTTGCCTTCCTATGCTCAAGATTAGGGGTGGAAATCGGTACGGTATCGGTATCCCAATACCAAATACCAAAATCTCGAATACCGAAATCTCGAATACCGAATTACACCCTGAAGTCTATCCCAATGCCAATCCCTAAATAATTTTGGTATCCCAATCCAATCCCTAAATATTTCGGTATCCCAATCGGTACTTCGGTATCCCAATCGGTATTATCGAATACAAAATTAATTACCTTTTCAATTCATAATTAAATATATAAATTAGATTTTATTGTTTAATTTAGGGGAAAAAGAATAAGCAAAGATTTTTGAATTAGGCCATTATTAAGGAGAGTGGAGGAGAGGAGACATCTCAAGTTCTTGTCATTGATAATTTTTAATTTGACGAATTGGAGGTTGAGAGACGACTACTAATAGTGATGGAATGATCTGTGTATAATTAAATGACACTTTTGGTGGTTGAGGGTCATGTAGCAGTAAATGAGAGGGTCAAGTTGAGAGGATAAAATACAAACTAGCTTATATTTCGGTATTGATCGGTATTTCGGTATATCCCGATCCCAATCCTGTAATCCATAATACCGAATAACAGTTGAAATTCAATCCCAATCCCAATCTCAAGAAATAATACGTGTATTCGGTAATACCAAATATAGACAAATTCGGTACGGTATTTTGTATATCCCAAATACCGGTACCAAACTTGCAGCCCTGCTCAAGATAGTGGGCTTAAAGATTAAGAAGCCGAAAACGAATAGAAAACAAGCCTTCAGATCACTAAGCCCAATTTACTTTACAAGCAATATGAACTACTGGTTCGGCATGAATTAATCATTTACCAGGTGAAAATTCAATTATTTTTTTGTTTGAGGTACGTTATTATCCGGTATTTTCCTATATCATTCCGGTATTAGTTGGTACGGTAGCCTATTTTTGTCGGTATGATTTTTTGACAAAAAAAATAATTTATTATTTAAAAAATGGTATTTTACGGTACAAAACGGTTGAACCACGGTCGTACCACAAAATTCCTTACCAGAAATGAATCCGGTACGATTTCACAAATCTTGGTATAAACCTTAGTGGGTGCAATATAGGGCAAGTATGTTTAAATATCGACCTGGACCGGCCCATGTACCGCTACTTCGACTGTTTGAAACATTATCTAGCGGATTAGTTTTTGGTGAAAACAAAGGTCTAAAACTATAGTACTTTGCAAAGGTAAAATGGATTTGATATTAATTGAGAAAGCTTCACCGGTTGTTGCTCCCCCTAGCTAACAATTACGACTTGAAGAATCGAACGACCGTGTGTGGTTAGGGGGTTATAAATCGTAGGGAAGTCTAACAAGCAACTGAGGCTACCCTCTTAGTCTCTAGGTTGAGGAAATGGGATGTGATCCAAGCTGCTAATGCGACCCTCTCAACCTATCGACTAAGGAATGATTAGACTTCACCCTCGAATTGGAGTTCGGTCGGCCACCCACAACCAAACCCTAAGTGCTAATACAAATCGGGAGGTTTGCCCTTAATTAACCTAGAATATGAGGCATGAAGTGCCCAAGGAAACCCATCTCTAATAAAGCCTCTTAGGTTGAGGAGGGTTCTCTCTAAACTAGTCTAGGAGGCTTTGAATGCCCAAGGAAACCCAACTCAAATTGAGCCTCTTTGGATAAATGAGGTTTCCTCTCTAAACTAGCCTAGGAGGCATGCAATGCCCAAGAACACCCATCTCTAATTGAGCCTCTTAACCTAAGGAGGTCTCCTCTCTAAACTAGGTCAAAAAAGCACACACCATCATCGTTAAAAATACCTTCACATTCATATTAAAACACAACCACACACAAATAGTTCAATTCTTACAAGCATTCACGTAATTGTAGCTAGAGTTCACAAACACCCAAGTGAAAGAAGGGACTACTCCATGTTAGGAGAAGGGAAAACACAAGAGAGGGAAAGGAAAACCATCAAGAAGATGAAAGTCTTGCTCCTTGTGTTGAAGATATCCTCCTTTGGGGGAGGAATTCCCAAATCCTTGCTTGGAGATGATACCCGAGCTTCTCCTCTTCTTTTGTTCGTCACTTTCTCACTCTAAAATCCGAAGAAGAAGTTTCTCACACTAGGTCTCTCCCCTTTCTTCCTTTCAGCTGGCTATTTTAAACCGAGATCGAGCCCAGTTCATGGCCTAAGTTCACAGCCGTGAACATCGAAACGCGTCCGTGAACTCGGTGTCTGAACCAAAATGCACTACTTCACATCCCTGGGTTCACGGTCTATGGCTTATGTTCATGGTCTTAGCAATCATGAACAACCCTGGCGTCAGTAACCTCAAAACCCTCTCTGGACGCTCCTTTGCTTAAGGATTATGACTCCAGTTCACGGTCTTGTAAGACCGTGAACTCCTGTTTGCTCCTCTTTGCCCGATCTTTGCTCATTCCCTTCCAAATTTCGACTCCGGGGTTGGTTTCACCTGTTAGGATCTGAAATACACTGAAACACAAGAAACATCGCGTAAAACCATCCGTTTCGGAGTTCAATTGCAAAAAACATCAAAGCGAAATGGGGGTAAAAGTGTACAATTAGGCTCGAATCAAGATCACAATCATTATACTTGCTAGGCAGTTGATAGTTCCTCTTAGGCCTTAATGGTGGTTCATACTCCTGTTGAGGTTCTAGCTCTGGTTCAAAATGAGTTACTTCTTCAGGCGAGGAAAAATCATCCACGACATCCCCCTCATCAGCTAAGATTGGGTCAGGAGACAAGGGAGGCTGAGGGACTGGAGTTGAAGTACTGGGAATGACCAGATCAGGAGCAATATGAGACTCAATAGGAGAACAAGTGGGTTTAGACATAAGAGGGGAGGAAGGTTGAATGTTTTCAGTTATAAAAGGCAATATGGACTCATAGAAAACATCATTGGAAATCAGAACTTGATTGGTGTAAATATCTAGTAACTTATAACCTTGATCCCAAGAGGAATGCCTAGCATGAAACATTGTCTGGACCTGGGGGAAAATTTAGTCCCGGCTGAGGTGGGAGTTCCAGGATAGACTAGGCTACCAAATACTCTAAGATTCCCAAGTAATGGCGGTTTCTTGTAGAGGACTTCAAAAGGAGATAGGTTATTAAGTATTGGAGTAGGCATTCGGTTAAATAGGTAAACAGAATGTAGAATACAGTCACTCCAAAACTTTAAAGGAATACCAGATTGGAACCTTAAGGATCTAGCAACATTAATATATGATGGTGTTTTCTTTCCACTCTGGCATTCTGTTCAGCTGTAGACACGAGACATCTGATGCTCAATTCCTTCACTCATGAAATAGTCACACATGTCAAATTCTTTGCCCTGATAACTTCTAATTGTTTGCACTTAGCTAGCAAACTGATTTTTAACCAGCAAATAAAATCCCTTTTAAAGATCCCTAACTTCATTCTTGCCATGCATCAGATACACCCAGACAGCCCTTGAACAATCATCAACAATTGTAAGGAAGTAACTGTAACCATCATAAGACATTACATACAAGGGTCCCCAAATGTCGACATGAACAAACTGAAAGGTTTAACTGCATTATTTGTGCTAATGGGAAAAGGCAGTCTTTTGTGTTTGGAGAAATGAAAAATAATACAATGATCGATCTTAGAATGAATTACAAAAGAGTCAATATGCTGTAACAAACTAAGCCTATCATTGCTGGGGTGTCATGATCTCCAATGCCACAAATCTACTTATTGAGGGTTAAAATTGAAAACACTGGCAACTTGGCTTTGGTGTGAAGTAGGTTGGTCATTTTTCTGGTGGGAAAAGGTAAGCTGGTAGAGGCCTCTAGTTTCTTTAGCTAAACCAATCATCCTCTTGTTTAGAAGGTCCTGAATGTGGGAAATATCAGAGTGAAATTGTAAGGATATGGGAAAGTTATGTGTAAGTCTACTCACTGAAACTAGGTTGAATGAGAAACTGGGAACAAGTTGGACATTGTAGAGGTATAAACCAAAAGGTAATCTCACAGTGCCTACATGATTCACCACAACCTTAGAACAGTTTGGAAGATGCACAAAAATTTCCTGTACTTGCTTATGTTCAGTGAACAAATCTAAGGAACAAGCAATATGGTCTGATACCCCAGTATCTAGTATCCATAAACTATTAGGTTTGGAATTTTTATGTACTACAGTTGAGGATAGCACATATTTACCTGAATAATTAGGAAAGGGAGGCAAATATTGGGAAACAAAATAGGCTTGGTGGTGAATAGGGGCGAGGTTGGTGGTGATGGTGAGGGAGAATGAGCAATAAGAGCTAGGTTGTTAGGACCACAATGCAGCAAGTACCTCAGCTTGTTCATTTCTTCTGCAATAAAGCTAGGGGAAGAGTGTTTTACCATACTACCTTCATTGTGGTAACTAACCTCTGAAGTGGTTTCACTTCCATTTGAATTGCCTTGTGAAACTGATCCCACAAACTTCCGAGATGCAATATGAGAGCTACCTCTTTGCTCCCGCTCTCTATTCTTCCTCTTGCGAGTTCAACACTCCTTTATGTTGTGATTGGTATTCTTAGAGAACTTGCAATATTTCTTCCCTTGACCCTTGTCATCAGTGTTTTTGTTGGTGTCTGTTTGTACTGCTAGAGCAACTGACTAAGACTTCTTTGTACCACCTGATTGGTTGGCTTTCAATTATTGCTCGTGTTGAAGGAGATCGGTCACTGCATCAGCAACATTAGGCAGTGGCTTCAACATCAACAGCTGTTTCTTAACTCCCTCAAAATCCAGATTCAACCCCCTAAGGAATCTAATCAGGTAGTTCGTGTCTTGCTTCTGATTGTAAGCCACCACTGCAGTAAAATGGTTTCGATTCCCTGGAATATAGTTTCATTCCACAATTGGGTTGTATTCTGTATAATCATCCCATAAACCTTTGATCAGAGTATAATACTGGGTAATTGACATGGTTCCTTGCTTGCATCTATGAATTTCATACTCTAGGTTCGTTAATCTATTAGCATTGAACTGACCAAACCTACCCCGGAGTTCAACCCACAAAGACTTCTCATTTTCATGACTCATGACAGATCTCTTAATATCTTTCTGTAGTGAATTCAAAATCCAGGTGACAACAGCTATGTTGCAACTATCCCACAAAGGAAAGCTCAGATTGTTTCTGGCAGAAATCACCATAGATCCATCGACGAAACCCAGTTTGTGTTTCATTTTTAGAGCCTTCTTTATGGATCTACTCCCACATGGAGTAATTGCTCCCATCAAGTGACTCAGAGACGATCAGTTGTGAAAAACTCTCATTTGGGTTCAAGTAGAGAGGGTTACCAAAGACGACGATGCCATTTTGATATGCTCCAAAAGATCTAAACTGAAATTTTCCGTTGTTGGAAATGCCACTGGCATTCTGAGATCTGCCACCGACATTTTGGCTATCTTCGGTGAATTCAATTTGCCCGGACATCGTGTTGTGGAAGACGACCTAGATCGGCCGCTCTGATACCATGTTACATTTCAAGAATTAGGGTAGATTGTAGCCAACAACTCAGAGACATCAATGAGCTCCTCTGTTCCCTTTTATATTCAGCTTGCAATTTGATTTACAGATAATCGCCATGTTTCACACTATGACTGGCTGTGTTTAAACACTAACAGTACTTTACGGCTAATCTACCATAAAGGAAAATGGTGCGTAGCACCACTTAAACACAAAGTCTTCTTATTTACCTGAAACGTTTCTCAAGAGGGATTGGGAAAGAGGGTGAGCAATTTTATTGACGTTGTTTTTTATTTAATTATTTTATTAAATAAAATTAAATTTATAATTTCATGTCAGATGCCACATCACTGCTAACTGGATTTTATGTTAAATACTAATATTCAATGCCAGTCAACACTAACGAAAAAATAGTTCAGGACACAATTGTCATATTGAATAGTTCGGGACACAAATGACACATTGTTGATAGTTTGGGTTTCCTAGTGGTATTAGCCCTTTTTATTATTATTATTATTATTATTAGTTTGTGAGTCGGTTTTAGATATTGTTTAGGAATTGTATTAATTAATTAAGTATTTGAGGTACTTTCTTTAGGATTAAGTTACCATATCCTTGTAGGATTGATAAGTGATTAGGTTTCCCGTTCTTCTATAAATATGTACTTTGTTTCTACGTTTTAACCAATCAATAAAGAATAAAAAAACCTAATCTTGTTCTCTTTAATTTCTGGTTCTTATGATTTACGCGATGGGTGAAACGATCATTCATCAATTGGAATCAGAGCCTGGTTCGACGGAACCGTGCTCTACGCAGCTCCCAGGATAGACATCGCCAACGTTTGACCACCAACGTAGGGAAGAGGTCCCGTGAGCACCCACCTCCGCCATCACGCCCCGCCATAACAAAGTGGATACACAGCCACCTTCTGCCGAGGCCACGAGCGCCGCCAGCAATGATGACGACAACACCAGGAGGCGAGGACGACTGCCCGACTATGACCATGAGCAGTCTGATGAAGAGATTTCTATTCATGCCCTAACCGGCGTCTTGAATGGATGTTTCGTTTGTCTCATCACAACTATCCAGGAAGAGGCGGTAATGGCTCAGGTTGACATATTCTCCTCTCGTAGCTTTATCAATCATGGAGTCGCGAGAAGTTTGTCATTAAGGGCTACTCCTATTCTGCCAATTCGAGTCAAGGCGGCCAGAGGTGTGTGTTTCGTCTGTGTTTGGTTCTACGAGGCAGTTTCAATCGAAGCGCAAGGGGTACTGCAGGAAGTCGATTTGCTGGAGCTTCCAATTCGTGGATTCACAGTGGTCTTTGGCGTTCCGTGGTATATATGATTGGCCCCGAGGATCATTGATTGGGAGCTCTTGACAATGAGTTTCTGGTATGAGGATTCCCGGGTTGTGTTGCAAGTGATCATAGGGAGGATTGACTATGATGGTCACGACATAAAGGACTGGTCCAAGGATTTGACGACCAAATCCTCCGCCGAACCACTCACAACACCATTTGAATCTCTAGCGGCGTTAGAAGAGGAAGAGATCTTCATATAGGTCATTGTAGCCCAGCATGATCCAGCCACCGCCATCATTGATGCTTGTGATGGAGTTGCAACCTTCCAGTTCCCACCAAGGCCGAATGTGACAAGGACGACAAAGAGACTGTGGCCGCCACCTCCTTCACGATGCCATCCTTTGTTTCAATAGATCCAACTACAAACGAGAAGGTTCCGAGCGGGAAACTTCGGTTGGCAGAGCTCTCTACGGGTTCCAAGGTGTTGAAGCCACTCTCTGTTGATTCTATCGAGACATTCGACTCTGATTCAACGTGATGAGGGCATCAAATGGTCAATCACACGTGGTAAGGCCAAGGCGATTAGAGACAAGTTCCCAATGTATTTGGGCTGTTATTTTGCAAGCATGGACGTGGAGCTATTCAAGTACAAGCCCTTTATGATGTTACAAGCCGTGGAGAAAGAAGAGAGCCTTGAGGAGGAGGCAGAATGTGAGAAGAAGGAGTAAAAGTGTTGTTTTTGTTCTTTTGAGCTTAAAACTCGGCCACAAATTGTTATTTGCTTTCAAAGTCGGTTTATGATGTTGTTTTTCTTGTTATGGTCGGATTAGGGTTGTTTGGAGCCTATTTAAAGGGTTTAACTCGTTGGTTTGAGAGTTAGACTATATTATCAAATTTCAAAAAGTTTTTGCTTGTTCCCTTTGTGGATTTTGCCCTAAATACTCTATTGAGGATTCTGGAGTGTTAGAGCGACTCTTATCAACTAGGTATACACCCTAGTTGTGGAGAGCTACCCATATCAATTGCGCTTAATTCCAAGTTGAGATTGTCGATCGATTCTTATCGATGGCCCCTTTTCACGAGTGAATTCTGTTCGATTGATTTCCATCCTATCCTGGTTTTATCTTTTGGTTCGAATTGCTTGGGTTGTGTGAATTTGATTGTATCAAGTGGTACCAGAGCCGGGTTAAAACTCAGTGGCAGAGTTGACGTGTTCTTGAAGGTTCTTGTTGGTGTTCTTGAGATTCTTGGGCTGTTTGCTCGAGTTTTTGGGTTTTCATGAGCTGCAAGGATATAGAAAGCATTGCAAGCGATTAAGGATCAGTTGGAAGCAATCACTCGGACTCAAACTGATCAACCAACATGAATGTAGGCTGTTGAGGCTCGACTTCAACAACTACAAGCTCCCGTCGATGAAAACCCTAACCCTAGGGATTTCCAAGAGGAAGGAAGGGAAAGGGAGGAACGAGCACCTCCTCCCTTGTTCCATGAAGTTCAGCGACGTCTTCGACATCATCGACGTGTGGGAATGCCTCAAGTTGAGGCAAGAGGGTGGCAACAACAAATCAATGATGAAGAGGAGGAGGATTTTCGAGGATCTTGGAGACGATTACAATAAAGAAGAGGAGGATGATCTTCGCAATCTCAAGGTAACCATTCCATTGTACCGAGGTACGACAAACCCTGACGCCTATATAGATCGGGAGCGAAAGATGGAGTTGGTGTTTGATTACCACAATTACTCAGATAAGAAAAAGGTGATGTTGGCTGGCCTAGAATTCTCGGATTATGCTTTAGTTTGGTGGGATAAACTATGAACGAGGAGGAGGAGAAATAGACAACGTTTTATTGATACATGGGACGAGATGAAGGGCATTATGAGGGACCGGTTTGTTCCAAGTTCCCATCAAAGAGATATGTATCAGAAACTCCAACTTCTTCGGCAAGTTACGAAAAGTCTTGAAGATTACCATAAGGAGATGTAAGTTTTGATGATACGGGCTGATGTTAGAGAAGATCGAGAGGCCACCATCGTTTGATTCTTGTATGGTCTCAATCGTGAGATAAAAAACGTAGTTGAAATCCAACCATTCCTTGAACTTGAAGATCTGGTCGCTATGGCAAGCAAGGTGGAGAGGCAGCTACGTATTAGAAGGTTTCAACCTTCTATGAGTTCCCGACGACCAAACTAGGGTGTTGCTTCTAACCTTAAACTGCAAGTTCCTACTAGGGAGGCTCCCAAGCCTGCGACAAGGGTTGAGACTTGAAAGTGCAAATTCTGGTGTGAAGCAAGGTGGATCATCCGGGGGAATTCATTGTTTCAAATGTCACGGAAGAGGTCATATTGCGAGTCATGCCCAAACAAGAAGACCCTAATTCTACTCAACAATGTGGAGTATGTGTCTGAAGAGGAAGTAGAAGAGACCAGCGATTCTGAAGTTTAAAAAGCTCTCGAGATGGAAGCACCTCCAGGAAGTATGTTGGTGGCGAGAAGGGATCTGATCGCACAACCTAAGGAGGAGCTAGAACAACGTGAGAATTTTTTCCATACTAAGTGTGTGGTTGATGGGAAGCTACTCTCTATGGTTATCGACGAAGGAAGTTGCACTAACGTAGTAAGTTCAATTGCGGTGTAGAAGCTAGTACTAACGACATGATGGAGTAACTAATAAGTACAAGCTGGTACATGGAGGTCAGAAGTGTGTGCTTAAACCACTCTCTTCGAAGGAAGTTGATCACTTGAATTTGTGCATGTTATTGTCAGTGGTTTTCACGTATCAACAACCAATGTAGTCAAAATCTAGATTTTAAGTAAAATCGAAAACTGAAGTAGAATCGAAATCGTAGATTAAAATCGTAAAATCGTAAGATTTTAAGGTTCATATTAAAATAAATACTTAAAACACTAGATAGTAATAAAAATGCATATCTTGAATAACAATCAATTGATAAAGCATAATTACTTCCCAAGATAAGTTTGTTTGCTAAACAAACACAACTAATCCATATATTTTTCTTGTACATAATAGAAACACACAAATAAGAAACCTAAAACATTATAGATATCACTGTTAATTAATTGTTAAGAGTAGAAAATCACATAAGATCGTTAGGATCAACATTAACATCACTTACACATCATCGTCATCATCCTCAACCTCACCCTCACTCTCATCATTTTTATTTGTTTAAGGACTAATATCATTACTCTTATGATCACTTGAAGTACCATCATCTGAAAAAGATAACTCATTGATTGATGCATTCCCTTCTTAATTGATAAAAGGTCGGGTTAGTGGTGTTGAAGGATTGGGATATGAACAAAAGCTTGCAATGTAATGGGGATTTGGATTATTGTGAGGGTGGTGGGAACAAACTACAAGCTAATTGGGAGGGTGGAAGATATCGTTGATGGAAGGAGTTGGGCGCCGACGTGCGAAAGAGGAAGATACGAGGAAGAGAATGAAAATAAATTGAGAGTTAATTATCAGGTTGGGGTTGTGTTGTTCATTATGTTGGGTTGGGGGAAGTAAATTTGACTCGGTTCATGGGCAGAACCCAACTTGACCGGCCTAATTTTGATCCAATTGATATGAACCTTGAAATCGTACAAAATCGTAGAAATCGTAGATTTTATGGATTTTAGAGTTTTAAATCGGGATTTTAAGGTTCAAAGATTTTACAGTAAAATTAGGATCGGAACCCATAGGTAAGATCGTAAAATCGGGATTTTGACTACATTGTCAACAACTATCTCATCCTAAGCCCAGTTTAACATAGGACGACATTGCCATATAGTGGTAATCAAGGTCGTATTCTACTCAGGTCCTGGTACCCTAGCCTACTTCCCACCTTGTTGTTAATTAGGTAATCGGTTTTTGAGGTTTTGAGTGGATGATATGAGGAAACACTAGTCTAGAGGTTGATCAAAGCTAAAAGCAGGTACTTCGGGGAACTAATCCTCCCCCTAGCTTAGGGATACTATGAATGTATATATACTTAGGGTTATCGAATGTGGTGAGTGAGCTCTTTTCCGTGGGTCTTCGTCGTTATCCACACGCCTCCGAGTACGCCTCCCCTAAACCCATGTTTCAATCACCTCGATCTATGCTATCGTATATGGGGCTTTAAGCTTATGGCTTATTTCAATGGACACTATCCACCATCCACACCGAGGTTTTATCCCGGGTTCCATCTAGGAAGGCTACATATAGCAGGGGTTCAGTCGTCTCGACCACTATAGGCCCCCCTTTCACACATCTAACCTAAACTCGCCAACTGGCGCATACCTGTCTAACCCTAGAACTCCTTACCTAGCATGGTAGCATAAAGTAGGCTAAGAGGGAGGATTAGGGAGACTTACCCAAGCGTCATCATTTAGGAAAGAATGACATTAAAAATTAACTAGACAAACACATTCATTCATTCAAATCCTAAAATATCCATACATACATAATAAATCCTAAAATTAGGGGTTGGGGTTTCGAACCCCTAGTACCTTAGAGGACTACTCCATAAAGGAGGGAAGAAGATACATGGTAGAAATAGAAGAAGACTTGGGGTAGAAGATGCCTCCTTGCTCCTAGCTCCTCATTCTCTTCTTCTCCCTTCAGCTTCTCTCTCTTAGCTCTCTCTAGAACAAGAAATTTCACCCAAAATCAACTCACTTAAAAAGGGGGAAGGGGTCTTTTATTTATAGGCAACTTGGCTTCGGGGAAGTTCGCGGCCTGAGGCAGGGAGATTGGGTCGTGATCTTTGGTCACTGGGCCATGATCTTAAAACGTTGTCGTTGAGGCCTTAAGGATGGGGGATATCGTGACTTGACTTCGTGGTTGGGATCCTTGAGTCGCGGCCATGATCTTCCTCACAGGCATTTTGCACGTTAGTCGCGGTTCTACTGGGAAAAGTCTCTGCTAATCCAGGGCTCCTTCCTTGCGAAGTTCACGCCCTGGGGCTCCAAGATCGCGGTCTTGATCTTTGGTTTCTGTGCTTCGATCTTCAGCGAGACTTCACGACTGAGATCTCGGCGGTGATCTTTGGCTTCTAGTCCACGATCTTTGATCCTTGCCCCTTTTCTACACTTGTGACCTTGTTTTGTACCTAATTAGCACATATTGACTAATGCACCCTATAATCACATTGAAATCAAATAAGAACAAAATAGGAATGTATTTGACAATGTTTAAACGCTTAAGTACATGAATTGGCACAAAACATACCCTAAGATGGAGGGTAAATAACACCGATTTTGGTGCGTTATCAAACTCCCCCACACTTAGGCACTTGCTTGTCCCCAAGCAAACCTACTCAAACCTAATGCAATATGGTAGACGAATCAACGAGGCATGCATGCTAGTACTTCATTGCATAGATAAGAGTATATGGGGATGCAAAGCAATTAAAATCAGGATTTTACCTAAAATCGAAACTGGGGTAAAATCGGAATCATAAAATAGAATCTTAAAATCGTAGGATTTTAAGTACCATATTGAACATAACATATAATAATATTAATAAGATAAATCATTAATAACACAAAGACACATAATATTTAAAATGATAATTCTCAAGATTTTTTTACGGGAGATAATTCTCAAGATTAATGTTCCAAAATCACTTTTTTAATTGTTATTTAATGCGCAACTCAAAATAATTCATGATGAAGGGATATAGCTCATGGAGTTTGACTCTTGTTTTCATGTTGTGTCTAGGTAGTTTAACTCAAAGTAATATTCCGACATCGTCTACTAAGTATGCTTTAAAACTAAAATAATTGAACTCCAATAAAATAAGTAATGCTAGTGGCTTGATACAAATATATTAATTAATTAATTAATAATGATGTTAATTTTCACATACTTTCAATATTAGGACAATTATTTTACCAATAAGTTAAATGGGGCGAAGGGAAAGGGATAAACCGAGCCCACTAATTTGATTATTTTTTATTATTTTAAAAAGTTTTTTAGTAGAAAAATATCTGATAAGATTCCCGTCATTACCCTTTCTGCCGAAATATTTATGCTTCTTTTAAATTGGCTTAAACCACCTATTTTGTTCTCATACGATCAAAATCCCGTTTTTGGTACGATTTTACGAATTTAACGATTTTAATCCCAATTTTAAGGTCCACCGATTTTATAGTAAAACCAAGATCGGAATCCCTAAGGAAAATCCTAAAATCCTACGATTTTACGATCAAAATCTCGATTTTGACTGCATTGTGGGGATGAATGAATGCTACTACCATCCTATTGTGCAAGCACAATCTCTCGTGTGAGGACCATATCTACAACCTTAGGCCAATCATTCAAAATGTGATTCGGGGGATTTTCCGACAACAAACGACTAATAGAACCATAAGCAGTGCTTTTATTCTTTCTTTTGATGTAGGAGTTGTCATTTTTCGGTCTCCTTTTTCTCCGTTCATGCACATTGTACCGAACTCTTGCAATTTATTTCATTGCATAATATCATCTCTCCCACGTGACCAAGAGTGGATGAATCATAGCCTTCCCTTTCAAGGTCACATGTGGGGAAATTGATGGTCGGATTTGTCTTAGCCCGAGCACCACGTCCCAGCATGCACTCCACATTGGGTTGCCGCACATGTTGGTTACAAACGAGAGTTACGAGGTCTCATGAATTGCTAAAAGGTACCTTCGGTCCTTATCATACGATTTCGTGAGGAGGAGAGGTGTTTGGGGGATAGTAAGTAGTAAGAGATGATCGGGACGCAATAAAGCTATCCGAACCCCAAACACATCCTCGACGGGCACTCCGAGCCAAGAGAACAATCCTTTGACAGTTGAACTCAATTCTTTGCCCGGTTGCCACTCACGTGAGAACCTCTTTTCTATTTTTAAGCACAAATTGAAAAAGTTCCTAGTTCACATAAAAGGAAAGAATCCCGCACACAATGCCTTCCTAAGATAGCAACACCATCGACTCACACTAGAGGAGGAGAGTAGTAAAATCCCTCACGTACCGATACTCAAACCATGCAACTATCACCTAAAAACTCAAATTTGAAAAAAAAAATTTGGATGTGCATTCAAGGCTCTAAAAACACTAATAATGCACCATTCATAACCACAACAAAGGCATAATCACTAGCATACACTCCCATAATCATTCATCATCATCTTACATTCAAAAACAGGCAAGGATACTAGCAATAAACGGTTGAACCAATCATAATAAACATTCAAACATGCACAAACATCCCCCCAAACTTGAGCAACACATTGTCCTCAATGTGGGAGTTCGCCAAGAAAAGATCATGAATGTTACGAATAGTAGTTATAGGTACGATAAATATATATATATATATAATAAGTACTACTACTACTAGCGATAGAATATATAAGGTAAAAAAGGTAAAATGAAAATAAAGTGATAATAAAACATTGTTTTAATTTAAATAAAGAAAAGAAAAATAAAAGATAGAACTTAGGCCCTGGATGCCTAGAATTCATTCCTCATCGAAGGGTCCTTCTTCTTCATCATGGGAAAGTGCGGAAGGGGAGGAGCGGTTGAATGTGCACGGTACATCTTCGAACGGAATGTTCATCTTCTCCATGATCACGTGGAATGTGGATGCACACCATGATGTGAAGCCGTGCTTCCTTCTCCCTTCGTTGGTTGTGAAGGATAACCTCTATCATAGCCTCAATTCTATGATCTCTTGCATTGTTGCTCGGTGGGTTAACCGATTGAAAAGTGGGAATAGGCACCTCTCCTCCTTCATGCACGCTCTCCTCTTGGTCTTCCTCGGTTGTCAATCCTCTTCGGTCCCTTGCCCTCCTAGCTTCCAGAAGACGAAATACGGTTCCTCCCATGTCCAATGTATTGGTGGTTGGAAAATGGAATCCCCGCACACCCCAAGTGCCATCATTGCTCATGTGTAGAACCTTAAGTTTCAAATTCAAGATATCAAAGGATATAGGAACGGTCCTACGATCCAATTGAAATTGTAAAGCTCCAAAGTCGACTTGGAAATATTTGGCAAGTCGGGTGACGTACACTCCTTGGAGTGCGGCAAGTTGGTGATCCACTCGTAACGCTTGAAAATAGATAAGATTGATAGACCGAGATGAAGAGATTGTGGGAGGCGCATGATATGAAATAGGGTGATGTCTCGGGTGGTGAGATTGCCCTTGCTCCGTTTCTTTCCTCCCACAGGCCTAGCAATTACGTGGTGGATGAGCCGCCACTCCGGTTGCACCTCACTGGATTTTGATAGTCTCACGTCCCATTGTCGGCTCTCGGGTTTCTTGACTTCAGACTCATAAAAGGCCTTGAAACAAGGGAAGTCGAATTCCCTTGTCAAGGTGGAAAAAACATTAGGTGAAGCAATGAAGCCCACCGGGAAGATGTCCATTTCTCTAGTGAACTCCTGGATTGGCATGTGACGGTACTACCCTCCGAGTTAAAACTGAATGTTATCTCAAGGTCGGCGGCACCCCTCATGTCTCGAATAGTGAGCGTACTAATAAACTCAAGAACAAACACCTGATATATGTGTTCTTGAATAGAGAGCAACTTGAGCCATTCCAATTTCTGTACTTTAGAGCGGATTGCATCTTCAATTCCAAGTTGGGCGAAAAGAATCCAATCGAGACAAGTACTTTCACCTAAGGGTAGCCCTTGAAGCCACAAAACTTTGCTCTTGAATTACTCGGGTACATGCTCTAAAAAGTAGTGAGTGATATGTTATACACCACCTTTTTCATATTGAGGAACTACCCTTGATTGATGTTCAAGTTGTGATGGTGGATGAGTTTCTTCTACAACCACTTCCTTTGACTTGGACTTCCTTGTCTTCTTCTTTTGACCTTGGCGAGGACGAGATAATCGATAGGATGAGCTCTCACCATAAGTCATGCCTTTAATCTTGTATATTATCCTTCAAAACAAGTGGTACACATATGCATAAATCATCAACCCAAACATCAAACATTAATTGGGTAGAATACAATAAGGTATCATGAAATTTATAAATTTCCCCCACACTTGAATGTGACTAAGAACTTGACAAAAGAGGGAAATTGGATAGAGAAATATCTCCAAAATAGTAAGAAGGATATCCCCAAATTTATGTAGGAACAATCAATGACCAACACCCTATGCAATGAAATTGATGCTTAATCCAAAGTGATGCAAATAATGAACTCTATGTGGTTGGGGACTTTTCACCAATACTTGGTGGGTGGTAGTTGAAGATGACATAAATGCATGGACACAACCCACCAAGGCATCAAAAGTGACATAGAGGGTTCATTAAAGAAAAGAAAAACAATCTCATGCCATCAAGATGTCATTCCAAGTAGAAAATGGGCATTAAAGACTCTAAGCAATCAACACATGTTGGGCAAGACAAGGCAATTAAATAGAGTCAAACAAGGAAAAGTGTACCTTATATTGCTAGGGGACATGGTGGGAATCCAAAATCAATAGTAAATCCTTCTCAAAAGTTGTTGAAAGATGAGATTAAAGAAGGTGGGTCCAAAAAGTCAAGAGAATTGGAGAGTAATGACATATAGATTTAGATAAAGTTGAAAAAGTGAATGTACTTAGATCTAAAGAGGCTGCCAATGCTTAAATAGAGACGGGCAAGATCGCGGGCTGGGCACCCAAGATCGCGGCCGTGATCTTTGCCTTGTTCAGGAAAACTCATTTTCTCCACGTCTCTTAGTTCAAGCATTCATCCAAACATTCAATCAAACATCCAAAAGAAAGGCTAAGTCTTATCAATCAATCTCAATGCATCTCTAGTGCACTAACTAAGCTACTATTTAATTAAAAACAAAAGGAAAGGGAATATATACGTAAACCGAATTGTTGGGTTGCCTCCCAACAAGCGCGTCTTTAAAAGTATTTTCGCCGGACTTGACTCTTTAAGATCAAATGGAGAGTCCTCCATCCTTCATCGATGACCCTTCGTAGAAGTCATACTTTGTGGTGAAATCCAAGGTGAAGACCATGGAGTCTCTCGGATGCCTCGTCCGGTGTTTGAGATAGAAAGCATCCATTTGAGAATTGATTTGCAAGATGGTGAGGGTGAAGCTCCTTGATAGAGATGTCATTATCCGTGAATGGCTTGTGGCATTCCCCGAACTCTTCATTTTCGAGAATATGAGCTAAATCGCCTTTAACAAATTGGTTTCCTTTCTTAGGATGTCTATCTTCAAAGATAAACCTTCGGAGCTTTCTTCCATGATCACCGGAGAGATGAGAAATCTTGAACAACTCTTGGGTTTGCATTTTGCAAGAAGATTTCTCTTTGCCCGGTTTCTTCATATTTTTGCAAGAATCACTCCCTCCTTCACCTTGAGCATCATGGGGTCAACATGGGAGACCATATTAAACCATTCAATCTTGGGACTTGAAGGTGGTGTGGTAGGAGGTGTAACCGGCTCCAATCCATCTTGACATCGTCCCATTTGTAATACTTGTGGAAATTTGGGATTGGAGTCATCTTATAAATTATCCTCTTCACCAAACCTTAATGTGATATGGCTTACACTTACATCAATGATAGTCCGTGCCGTAGCTAGAAATGGTCGACCTAGAATAATTGATGCATCATACCCATCTGTGTCAAGATCCACGAATTCCAACGGATAGACAAAATGAGCACACTTTACCAAGATATTCTCTATGATTCCTCTTCGCTCACAAAGAACCTATTGTCCAACTCAATCCGCATTGGAGTAGGAGTGAGCGGTCCAAGGTTCAAATCATTGTATATCTGATATGATACCAAACCCAATGAATTCCAACCCTCACAAGATCAATCAAGAAGCTGGATCAATCACGGATAAAGAGAGGGAATTTTGGCCAAGTCAAAATCCGTGTTCAAGGTACATACTTTGGAGGCATGGTTCTCTCAATTGGCTTGGTGGAAATTCAAGTTTAAGGGTTTGTTTTACAGATAACGATTCCATATTTCCAATGGCATGCTTTTTGGATCCAGAAGATGTCATTAAGGTTGTTTTCCAAGTCCTCAAAGTTGCTACATCAAAACTGGAAAACTGCCAGAAAATGGATAAGGCAGAAAACTGTTTTGTGAAGCCTACTTTGGAGCTCAATTCAAGGAGCATGGATGGGATTCAAGTCAAAAGGCTTCCACAACATGAAACTAGATATGTTTGTGAACAAAGGGAAGGAATTGGATGAAGAATTGGAGTTCATTAAGGCCTCGAACAAAAGGCGCGAAGTTAGTACGAAAGCTGCCTTTTGACTGTTTTGCGGGCAGCTTACTTGTGCTTCAAGAAAGGAAGTTTGTGTCCGAATTTTGTAACCTTTTTAGAGTATAATTTTACCTTAATTGTTTTCTAGTTCTATTATGATTGTATTAGGTTTTATTTGCCTTTAAATACCGTTCTATTTCGTTTTAAAATTCAGACTTTGTTGAATAGAAATCGAAACCGTTTGGTTTGTGCAAGTTGCGACTTGTTTTGGGTTTGGTGGATTCCAAACTTGGTGAGCTTGTGTATCGATTGGATAGTCACTTCAATCGTGGTCGAGCAACTACCCTTTTATACCAATCGAGCTATCCCCGGGTGTGGATTTGTCCTTTTGGTTCCCTTTTATCCAAGTTCGTATTAAGAACACTTCGTTCTTGATTCGAGCTCAATCGATTCTTCGATTGAGTCGTTAGCTGCGTGATTTTGATCACATACACCCCCCAGTTGCGCATCAAGTGGCATCTATAGCCTGGTTCAACGTTGTGGACACGAGGACAGAGATAACGAAGGAGGGCGGCGCCGGAGCAAGTCACTGGACGAGGTCGAGGGGCCCTGCCTCAGGTGACCTTGCCCTGCTGTTATCCGAACAGAAAAAGAAGAAGAAACAAGAAGCAGTAGCTGCATCAAAGAATCAAACTTCCAACCCTGCATCCGCTTCTCTTCAATCGGAATTGACTATGGCAGAGGCTCAACCTGTTATGATGGCAGGGCTGCAACAGTTCTTTCAAGAGCAAGTTGTTGCTCTACTCCAAAACCAGGCTCTGATACCACTTGATGAGCCCAAACTCGGGTCTCAAGGGATCACATTCGCGCAGTGAGCTAGCTAGGTCAAGAAGATGCTCTCGAATTAAACACAGAACTCGACCCTAGCTTGGTCAAGCTCTCACAAACTCAATTTCGGATGGAAACGAACGGGAACCCTTACACCTGGAAGGATGCACACTCTTTATGAGGAAGCTTTCAATGCAATCGAGGGCGATTCTCTATTGATAAGCAAGTCTTCAGCAAGTTTTTGATCACAACCAAAAACCAATCAAACTCACAAACTCTCAAGTTTGGGAATTGGGGTAAAATTCATTCAATCGTATTCTGAATAATACAATACGAGTATGAGGCCTTTTATAGGCTTAAACAATTACAAACAAACTAGAATAAGGACTGAAATTAACCTAACTAAGCAAGGAAACTGAATTACAAACATAATCCAAATGAAAAGAGGAATCCTTGTGGGACTCGGATTACTGGCAGTGTGAGGTAGCTTCTTTGAAGCCCTCGAAAATGGTCTTCCTGGATGAATCGATCTTACCCAATGCCTTGTTGTTGTAGAAGAACGCTTCCTCTTTCACCTCCAATTTGAATCAGCCTAAACTCATACTCCAAACTCCAGATATAGGCCTTCAAAGTTGGCATCTCGGAACAGGTTTCTGCCTTAGCCAAATTCAGGCAGTTTTCCTATTTTAAGGTGTCATTTTGAAGATCAAGTTATTATCTTTACGTGATGTATTGTGGAGCTCAAGGGGAGGTCTGGAACGTTGTTTTCAAAGCTCATCAAAAGGCCACCTCAAAACAGGAAAACTGCCTGAATTTGGCTTAGGCAGAAAGTTGTTTCGAGATGCCAACTTTGAAGGCCTATATCTGGAGTTTGGAGTATGAGTTTAGGCTGATTCAAATTGGAGGTGAAAGAGGAAGTGTTCTTCTAGAACGACAAGGAATTGGGTGAGATAGATTCATCTAGGAAGATCATTTTTGAGGGCTTCAAAGAAGCTACCTCACACTGCCAGTAACCCGAGTCCCACAAGGATTCCTCTTTTCATTCGGATTATGTTTGTAATTTAGTTTCCTTGCTTAGTTAGGTTAAATTCAGTCCCGATTCTAGTTTGTTTGTAATTGTTTAAGCCTATAAAAGGCCTCATACTCGTATTGTATTATTCAGAATACGATTGAATGAATTTTCCCCCAATTCCCAAACTTGAGAGTTTGTGAGTTTGATTGGTTTTTGGTTGCGATAAAAAATTTGCTGAAGACTTGCTTATCAATCAAGAATCGCCCTCGATTGCATTGAAAGCTTCCTCATAACGAGTGTGCATCCTTCTAGGTGTAAGGGTTCCGGTTCGTTTCCATCCGAAATTGAGTTTGTGAGAGCTTGACGAAGCTAGGGTCGAGTTCTGTGTTTAATCCTAGAGCATCTTCTTGACCTAGCTAGCTCGCTGCGCGACTGTGATCCCTTGAGACCCTGCGAGACTATTGGGCACTGTGGATAAGCTCAAAATCGTCCAAGGAAGCTCGAGTATCGAATCAATTGGACGAGGAGAAGCCGGGAGCGAAAATACCCAATTTTGATTTGGGGTCGCCGGAATCTAGGTTCGTGTCGCCGGATTCTGAGAAATTTAAAATCTCCAATGGCGAGAAATACGGCCATCGTGATTGGAGTCAATTCGGCCATGATCGAAGCTGGAGGATGGTAGGAATCAACTCCTGGAAGCTAGGGGAATTGATTGCAAGCAGCGAATTGGGACGAGAAGGTGATGAGAGGAAATCCCCAATTTTGGACTCCTCGCCGGAAGGTTCGCCGTCGCCGGAAACTGTCATTTTTCAGGTCAGATCTTTGTGTGAGCAGCCTTTTTCGGATCCAGTTTGGGATCAATTTTGTGGGTCTTTTGAAGAGAAGAAGGCCCAAGCTTTGAGGGCAAAGCTTTTTCAACAGGGGGGGGGGGGGGGGGCGATATGATCCCAAACCCAGTGAAGTCCAACCCTCACAAGATCAATCAAGAAGCTGGATCAATCACGGATAAAGAGAGGGAATTTTGGCTAAGTCAAAATCCGTGTTCAGGGTACATACTTTAGAGGCATGGTTATCTCAATTGGCTTGGTGGAAATTCAAGTTTAAGGATTTGTTTTGCAGATAACGATTCCATCTTTCCAATGACATGCTTTTTGGATCCAGAAGATGTCATTAAGGTTGTTTTCCAAGTCCTCAAAGTTGCTACCTCAAAACTGGAAAACTGCCAGAAAATGGCTAAGGCAGAAAACTGTTTTGTGAAGCCTACTTTGGAGCTCAATTGAAGGAGCATGGATGGGATTCAAGTCAAAAGGCTTCCACAACATGAAACTAGGTATATTTGTGAACAAAGGGAAGGAATTTTATGAAGAATTGGAGTTCGGGAAGGCCTTGAACAAAAGGCGCGAAGTTAGTACGAAAGCTGCCTTTTGACTGTTTTGCGGGCATCTTACTTGTGCTTCTAGAAAGGAAGTTTGTGTCCGAAATTTGTAACCTTTTTAGAGTAGAATTTTACCTTAATTGTTTTCTAGTTCTATTATGATCGTATTAGGTTTTATTTGCCTTTAAATACCGTTCTATTTCGTTGTAAAATTCAGACTTTGTTGAATAGAAATCGAAACCGTTTGGTTTGTGCAAGTTGCGACTTGTTTTGGGTTTGGTGGATTCCAAACTTGGTGAGCTTGTGTATCGATTGATAGTCACTTCAATCGTGGTCGAGCAACTACTCTTTTATACCAATCGAGCTATCCCCGGGTGTGGATTTGTCCTTTTGGTTCCGTTTTATCCAAGTTCATATTAAGAACACTTCGTTCTTGATTCGAGCTCAATCGATTCTTCGATTGAGTCCTTAGTTGCGTTACTTTGATCACATACACCCCCCCAGGGGAGTATTAATATCTGTGTAGGCATGATGTTGACGCTAGACCCCAAATCGGCTAACAGGTTCCAAAATATTTTATCTGCAAAAGTGCATGGAATAGTGAAGATTTCCGGATCTCTTAGTTTGGGAGGGAAACCTCCATACTCAATGGATACCGAAGCAACTTCACTAACAGATACCATTTCCTCCTCCATTTCCTCTTTCTCGACAAAATTTCCTTCAAGAACTTTGTATATTTAGGGATCTTCAATACCATGTCTAGTAAAGGAACAGTTACCTTTAATTGCTTCAATGTGTCCTTCCATGGAGCACATTCATGATAAAGACCGCTTTCAAATAACCAGCTAGGATAAGGAGCTGTTGATGTTGGCTCGGGTGCATGAGTCTTCTTAGATTTTCCCTCATCTTCGACATTGACTTCAATGAATGGTTGTACTTCTTCTCGAATAACTTCTTGAATAACTTCTAATGAGGCCCAAGTAGGGACTCAAACTCTCAAGCACGCAGCAAAAGAGGAATGGCGGATTGATGGTGGTTCGTAGTAATAGTATGGGTTTTTGCGGATAAAACGAACCAAGCTAGCAACTTCAACACTAAGGGAAAGAGGCTGGCTTGGGTAGAATAACACCACGAAAACAAGGGTGATGGGTTTGATCTCGAGGTCTGCAAGTCTAGGATCTTAATCCAAGACCAAACTTAAGCACTCATGCTCAAGGGAAACTCCTCGGAGTAATATTGATTCACTTAACTCAAAACGTGTGTTTACAATTGATGAAACATCTATTTATAGCCAAGAATAACATAACCTAATCCTAATAGAACAATGAAAACTAATTCAAGTGAAACAAGGAAAGAAACTCGCACAAAACATACAAACTTGCACGCCAAGTAACTATCTTCTTCTCTAAGTAAGCTGTTCATGAAACAACCTTTTGTATCATCTTTAAGCTTCTTGTTCATAGACTTCTGGCCTAATTCGTGATCAGCCAATTCCTTCCCTAGGCTTAGAAAGTTGCCTAGTTCCATATGCATCTCGAGAAAGTTGTTTCTTAAGGTGGATATGGTCCTCTGGCGAATTTGGCGCTCACGTAACTGGGTGGTTTTTGAGGGAAAGCAGTTTGGGTTCCCGGCCTTAGTGAGGTAGCTTAACCAGAAGTTTGATGAGTGGGATCGTTTGTCGAAGGACCGTGCGACCAATTCTGATTGGCCACAGGTGCATCCAGTGGGCTAGATGGGCTGCAGGAAACGATTTGTAGGTGGGATGGGGCAACGAGGAGTGGTTCGCATTCAGCTGGTGGGATGGTTATTATGAATCAGGCCGAGGAGATCATTTTTGCTAATGGGATCCAATTTCGCATGATCGATGACCCTGTGGTGGTGGAAGTCCTGGCCCTCCGTGAGGCGATTAATTGGTGTCGTGATCATGCATTCACGGAGGTTCGGTTTGAAGGGGATGCCAAAGTGGTCATAGATAAGATCTTGCTTGCTGATGCCAGGGATAACCAGATGGGAGCGATTCTTCAAGAGTTCATTCAATGCTTTGCCTGTAATCCGGGGTTTAGTGTGAGATTTGTAGGTCGGCATAACAATAGGGTAGCCCACTTGGTGGCTCGGAAAGCCCTCTCTTTGTATCCGTCTATGAGTCGTGTGTTTGATTATCAGACCTGGCTGAATTCCAGGATGTAACTACCTATTTTTCTGATCACTTGGTTGCATTCCAAATTCCATGAATCGTCCTCCAAAGTTGGTATCAACAACACTGTTTTTACCTTAGCCAAATTCTTGCAGATTTCGCTTTACAGGATAGCGTTTTGATGGCTTCTGAGTACGTTCTTCTTGGCTTCTCCTTGACATCCCAAGTATACCAATATGTAGAGGAACGTCCCTTCTTTAGCCTAAGAGCTCAAACTCGCATTTTCAATGAGCCAAGAAAGAGAACCCTCCCTCCAAAGTAAGGTCCCCAACACGGTTTCCATATTTAGCAATTTTCCAGCTTGGCTTCCTTTAACTTGATCCCACTTTTGATTGATGAATTGGAACATGTAGGGATTTGAATTTTTGATCATATCAACTTCTTAATGAACTTCTCTTACCGGGATCCTTGGATTTGAAATAGGAATATCCTTCAATGGTCGGTCACTGGTTAGAGTTACCGCATGACATCCTTCTTTTGCGTTCGGCTCGGTATTTCCCGGTAGAGTTCCTTGAGGTCTCAATGAGATAGTTTGAGCCAATGGAATTAGTTGAGCTTCAAGATTTTGAAATGAAGCTTTTTGATTCCTTTGACCCGCTTCCAAACTCGAGAATTTGGTTGAGGTATTCTATATGAACTTATCAAAAGCTTCAAACTTCTTGTTGGAATGTGTGATAAATTGGCCTACAAAATCTTCAAGTTTAGCAAGTCGACCGTTGGAGGGTCGACTTTGTTCTTGATACGCTCCTTGGTATGTTGGTTGACTCGGCCTTTGGTAAGAAGTTTACATTGGAGCTTGAGATTGAAACCCCGGAGGTTTCCTATCCGTTGGAGAAGACCAAAGATAGTTCGGGTGATTCCTCCATCCCGGATTATATGTCAAGCTATAAGGGTTGTTTCCTCGAGATTGACTCCAAAAAAATTGGCTTGCTTGAATTTTATAGAAGCTTCAATCATAGACTTGCATTATTCCATATGACTCGAGTCACCAAACCAATCACACTTCATAACTTGCTTCCCATTGCCCTTCATTGACGATGCAACTTGATCAATTTTCTTGGAAAGTTCTCGAATATGGGCTGATAGAGACGATGGTTCGTCAATCTTCAATAAACTTCCCTTTGATATGCTCTTACCTCTTATTCCGTCACCCCAATCATAGCTATTAAGAGCCATCTCTTCGATTAACTGTTGAAGTTCTCCGACTTCTTTGTTCCGAATGGCACCTCCACTAGCCGCATCAATGAGGCTCCGCGATTCCTTTGTTAACCCATTGTAGAAGCTTTTGACATGCAGCCAATCGACTATGCCATGGTGAGGACACTTGAGTAGGAGAGATGAAAATCTTTCCCATGCTTCAAAGTTCAAACAATGGTTCATCCTCCTCTTAACAAAACATAGTGATCTCACTTCTCATCAAAGTCATCTTAGAAGGTGGAATGTACCTTGCAAAGAACTTGTTGCATAGATCATCCCATGAGGCGATTGAGTGATGTGGTTGTTATTCAACCACTTCTTTGCCACTCCATTCAAGGTAAATGGGAATAACCTTAGTCGGATAGCCTCTTGAGGAACCCATTCACTTTGATTCCATCCATCAACTCATAAAATGGCTTGACATGCGCATGTGCATCTTCACTCATCATCCCATTGAATTGAAATGCACTTTGAAGCATCGATATCGTGCCCGACTTAATCTCATAATAATTGTTGGGTAACATCAGATGAAGAATAGGTGATTGAACATTGTCCATACTTGGCCTAGAGTAAGAACCCATTGTTCTTGGCCTCGGTGGTACTTGAGCTTGATGTTCCGTCATTGGTGGAGATTGAGGTATTGTAACTCGTCTTAGATTCCAAAGGGTTCTCTCGATTTCAGAATCAAGAGGTAATATTTTTAAGGAATCACTTCTTCGCATACAACGATGATACAAAACACAACCTCAACCACCCGTGACGTACAAATGTGGTAAATAACAATACAAACAAAGACACAAACTTGAAAAGAAAAATACGAAACGAAAGCACAAACACAAAAACAAAACAAAACGAAATAAACCAACAACACAAACACAAATACAACACTAAACAAACAACTAAAGCAAGGTAAAAACTAACTAATAACTTAATGGTTTTCTATTAGTTACCAAGGGTCCCAGGCAACGCCGCCAAAAAGCTTGATCACTTGAATCCGTGCATGTTATTGTCAGTGGTTTGCACGTATCAACAACTATCTCATCCTAAGCCAAGTTTAACCTACATTGCCGTATAGTGGTAATCAAGTTCGTATTCTACTCAGGTCCTGGTACCCTAGGCTACTTCCCACCTTGTTGTTAATTAGGTAATCGGTTTTTGAGGTTTTTAGTGGAGGATATGAGGAAACAATAGTCTAGAGGTTGATCAAAGCTAAAAGCAAGTACTTCGGTGAACTAATCCTCCCCCTAGCTTAGGGATACTATGCATGTATAGATACTTAGGGTTATCGAATGTTGTGAGTGAGCTCTTTTCTGTGGTCCTTCGTAGTTATCCACATGCCTCCGAGTACGCCTCTCCTACCATGTTTCACTCACCTCGATCTAGGCTATCGTATCATGGGCTTTAAGCTTATGGCTCATTTCAATGGAAACTATCCACCGTCTACACCGAGGTTTCATCTCGGGTTCCATCTAGGAAGGCTACCTATAGTAGGGGTTTGGTCGCCTTGACCATTATAGGCCCCCATTCACACATCTAACCTAAACTCGCCAGCTGGCACATACCCGTCTAACCCTAGAACTCCTTATCCTAGCTTGGTAGCATAAATTAGGCTAAGAGGGAAGATTAGGACGACTTACCCAAGCGTCATTGATAGACCGTTAATTACACATGTTTTTACCCCTGTTCTTACACCATTTGAGATGTGATTTCTCGTGTTTTAGGCCGATTTCACGCTAGGGTGTGCTTGTTTGTGATATTTCAGGTCCCATTACGTGAATGGAGGCTCGGGAGCGAGTTTGGGGTCGATTGGACGAAGATCGGGCGCGAGGCAAGACACAAAGGAGGCCACACGGGCACACCCACAAATCACACGGCCGTGCAACTCATATTTCTGGCCGTGTGAGATTGTGCGAGAGCAAACACGGCATGCCCTGACAACACACACGGCCGTGTGAAGAAGTGGCTTGGCCGTGCGAGTTTTGCCGAGAGAAAACACGGGCAGATGGAAGTCACACACGGCCGTGCCACTCTGGCCGTGTGAGAAGCCTGAAAATCGAACTAAGTGGAACGCAGCGTTTTGACTCACACGGGCAACTGGGTATGCCACACGGCCGTGTGGCCCTGCCCGTGTGAGTCGGGATTTCTTGGTTTTAACCCAGTTCCGGGCTGCAAGAGGGAGAATCGGACTTTTTGAGCAAAAACAGAGCCCTAGAGAGAGAAAGTACGGAGAACACATCCTAGAAGCTATCTTGGAGCTGGGTTTCATCAAATCGAGCTTGGAGATCGTCCTAGGAGTGGAAATCATCATCCCGGAGCAGATTTTCCTCATCTTTATGAGTATGACTACTCCGATTACTGTTTTCTTCTCTCTCTCTATGGAGTAGAACCCCTCTCTCACTTGGGGATGAAGAACCCTAGTTCTATGTGTTAGGGATTGATTGTAATGACTTGGGATGAGATTACTGTTTGATTTTAATCGAATGATGCATGTTTATTGAGTCAATTGAAGTCTGATCAACTTTTCCTGATTCCTGCTGCAATATGAGATAGATAGAATCTGATTAGGTTGCTAGAGTCTCATCATTCGATAGTAGGATATTGGCTATACGAGAGTTAGCCAGTTTACTGCTTTGTACTGGAATCCAATTCCAGTAGTGGAGTTCTGTTCTTACTGCTTCAGCTTTCTATCCCGGTGAAGACTAGTCGTCTGCCGGGTAGTTAGACTGAGAGGGCTTGGTCAGCTTAAGAGATTCCAAGCTACTGTCGGATCTTTCACAGTCTAATCAACAGTAAATCAACCCAGGGAAATACAATTGAAACCTAACTAAGGAGCTAGGGGGATTCATTCCCGAGTGACTCTTACCTGCTTGAGAAAACCGAATAATTTACTGCTTTCTTTCTGCTTTTGCTTTTAAACAACAATCACATACTTTAGTTGGCTAGATAATAGAGAATCACTGAGTAAGCAGTAGACCTAGACCCCGGGTTGATAATATAACTTGCCTGTTACTGCATTCCCGGTCTGCGATTGCACTTGGTCGCAGATTGGTGTTGTGTTTTGGCGTGTCAAGTTTTTGGCGCCGTTGCCAGGGACCCTCTAGGTTATTGGGGAAATGGGAGAATTTGTTACTCTAGCTTTTTATTTACTGCATTTTATCTCTTCCACCTGTGCGCCTTCACGGGTTGCTTCTGCTGATTGTGTGCAGGTAGTGCATGACCCGTAGCCAGTCGGGAGATCTACTACCACTAGACCAGGAGCTTGAACGAACCTGCAGAAACTTCAAGCGGGCTCTAAAGGCGCGACTGGCTGCGGAGGAGGCGCTATCACAGCTGCAGTTAGAAGAAGAGGAAGAAGAGATGGCTGATCCACAGGGCCATGCTGTGATCGATCCCGAGGAGCAGACCATGGGACAATACTGGACCGCCAGGGCTGCAGACATGAGGTCACCTATTCAACACCCTCATGTCCCGGCCAATAATTTTGAGGTGAGCACCTCAATAATCACCATGCTGCGCGGTTCGGTGATGTTCCGTGGCAAAGAGGGGGAGTGCCCCAGATCACATCTCAGGCGATTCCACGAGCTCATCGATGGAATCAAGATCAATGGGGTCCCAGCAGATGCCATCCAGCTGAGGTACTTCCCATTCACCCTGGAGGGGCAGGCCAAGGAGTGGCTAGACACTCGACCTCCAGGCTCCATCACCACGTTCGCCAACCTGGCGGACAAGTTCCTCACCCGCTACCATCCTCCATCCAAGACAGCTGACTTGCAGAAGCAGATCACCCACTTCACCCAGGACGAAGATGAGACCATCAGGGATGCTTGGGAGAGATACACCAGTCTTTTCCTCAGGTGTCCCAATCATGGTTTCAATGATGCGTTCAAGGTGGGCACCTTCTATCACGCCCTTTTCCCGGAGGACAAGCAGCTGATTGATTCGGTTTGTGGCGGGAACATGCTGACCAAAACACCACCACAGCTGAATCAACTCTTTGAGGAGATGGCGGAGAACGGGTATGATTGGGGCACTGCCAGGAGATCGAGACGAGCACCAGGCCGGGGTGTGCATGCTGTGGGCACCCAGTCATCTGATTTGGTGCAGGTGGTATCGAAGCTGGTTTCAGCTATCGATCGTTCTGGTTTGATTGCAGGTACCGGACAGCAGCAGGCTATGCTCTGCCAGTGGTGCGAGAGCACCCATCATACAGTGGAAGACTGCCAGGCGATGAAGGAATCGACCACGCCCCAGGAGCAGGTGAACTTCATCAACAATGTCAGGTGCAATGACCCCTACAGTAACACCTACAATGAGGGGTGGCGCCAGCATCCCAACTTCTCCTGGGGTGGGGCAAATTCCAGACCACCAGTCTCCCAGGGACCACCAGGCTTCCAGAGGCCGCCATATCAGCCCAGACAGGGGCAATTCCAGCAGCCACAGCAGTCTCTCTACCAGCCCATGCAGGGGCATGCTGCTCCATCCCAGCCGCGACCTTTCCAGCAGCAGGTGCAGCCCCTGCCGCCCCAGTGCAGACTGATCAGATGGCTGAACTGCGGGAATTGGTGGGTTCTCTCGCCAGTTCTAGTGCTCAGAAATTCAATACTATAGAGCAGTTCATGGAAAAGGCATCGGGCAAATTCCTAGCTCTTGAAGCTGGCCAGAGGAACACACAGGCTGTCTTGCAGGATATCCAGACCCAGCTGGGGAGTGTGGCTCAAGCAGTGGCACAAAGGGCTCCTGGCACTCTGCCGGGCAGACCATCCCTCACCCTCAGAACCCGAATGAGCACTGTAATGCCATCATAACCAGAAGTGGCAAGATGACTGTTGATCCACCTGCTCGAGCACAAGAGAGAGAGGCCCCTGCCTCGGCATCTCCAGCAGCTGAAGAAGAAGTAGAGAAGGAGGTTGAGGTGCCTGCACCTAAACCGCAACCAGTAGTGAAGGAGTATATCCCTAAACTCCCCTTCCCTACTCGGTTGCACAAAGACAGGCTGGAGGCAGAGTTCGAGAACTTTATGGCCATGCTTAGGAAGCTGAATGTCCAAGTGCCTTTCCTGGAGGCACTATCTCAGATGCCTAAGTATGCGAAGTTCCTGAAGGATCTTCTCTCAAAGAAGCAGAAGCTGAGCGAGCTGGCCACTATGGAGCTCAGCGAGGAGTGCTCGGCCATTCTGCAGAACAAGCTTCTGCAGAAACAGAAGGACCCAGGTAGTTTTACTATCCCGTGCTCTATAGAGAATTTGCATGTAGAGAGGTCCTTGGCGGATTTAGGTGCTAGTATATGCCATATAAACTGTTTAAGAAACTAGGCCTAGGTGAACCCCGTGCTACTAGGATGAGCCTTCAATTAGCTGATCGATCTGTAGTGCATCCTAGGGGCATAGTGGAAGACCTTCTGGTTAAGGTTGGCAAATTCAATTATCCTGTTGATTTTGTGATTTTGGACATAAATGAGGATGTGAATGTGCCATTGATACTGGGAAGGCCTTTCCTGGCCACCGCCAAGGCCCTCATAGATGTGCATGATGGGACCTTAGTTTTGAGGGATGGTAAGGAGCGAATAGCGTTTTCAATTTCTAATACTCGTCCTGCTTCGTCACCTTGGCATGTTGTAACTCACCAGGAGCACGAGTCTGTCGTGTATCCTTCTGTGTTGCCTATTTTGCAGGATCCGCCTCCCATACCTTCGCCGCCACTCCCGTCCACTCCATCATCGAAGGAACAAATCAGGGAGGAGTGGCGGCCGAAACATCAGGCAGCTAAGCCTGCTCGAAAGAAAGCCGGAGACCACTATGAGCTGGTCCCGCCCCCACCTTGGCCATCCGAGTATTCACTCGCTTGCATCCTGCCGGATGGCCAAGTTGAGTTGGCAAATGCTGGTGGCCACATCGGCGTGTGCATGGCCACCATTTGAGTTGTACCTCAAGAGCGAGGTGGATCCGCTCTTGAAGGCACCTGCTCCTTCACCTCACTGAGCATCCACCGACTAGCGTCCAGCTAAAAGATGGTAAAGAAGCGCTTGTGGGGAGGCAACCCCACCTAGGTTTGCATTTTCTTACCTTTTTCTTTTTGATTTTTTTGTGTTTTTTGAGTCTTGAGATGTTGTTCCAGAGTCGAATGTCGTTTTTGAGTGAAAACAGGTTGATTTTGGGGCTCCAGCAGTTCACACGGCCAAGCCTTAAACTCACACGGCCGTGTGGATTCTTTCCATTGGCCGTGTGTGCTCTCGACAATTTCCACACGGCCAAAAGTGCAACTGGCACGGCCGTGTGGATTGGCCTGGCCTGGCCGTGCGGCCGACACGGGCAACTCATTTTATCGCACGGCCGTGTGAAGGAGTGGCCAGACCGTGTTTGCTCTCGCATAATATGGCACGGCCAAATGAGCACTCGGCACGGCCGAGTGAAATTCCTCGGCCAGGCCGTGTCGGCCGACACTGGCAAAAGTGCCCATGACACGGCCGTGTGGGTCAGGCCGTGTGGCCGAGACACGGCCTATTTATTCGGCCAGCACGGCCGGGTCGTCAGAAAATCCCAATCCAATCGCCGGAAACCTCTCCCCCTCGCCGGAAAACCGCGCCAAAACCCCACTTTTCGATTTTTTCGGCCATTTTTTTGTCATTTTTTCACCAAACCAACAACAAACCCACCCTTCCTACACCAAAAGCGGCCTATCCCTCCATTTGAGGAGATTTGGCCGACGTGTTTGTCGCCGGAGGCGATTTCCGGCGAGACTCCGGCGAGGCTCTGACGAGCACTTCCAGACACTTTTTCGGCGTTTCGTCGCTTCCATCGCCTCCCCCTCATCATACCCTACACCTCTACTTGAGTCTCCAGGTTTGATTTTGCCCTTAACTATGTTAATTGTGGAGAATTGGGTGTTAGGGTGCATGTTTAGAGAACCTCATTGAATCTTGTGATTTTTGTGCAATTGATTGAGGGGAATGCATGGAGTATGTTTGAATTGTGTTGGGCAAAACCCCTCTTGATTGTTTGAGCCCTTGTGTGCAAGAATTGTGTCAATTTCTTGCTTACCTTAATAGTGCACACAAGGTGTTCGATGAAATGCCTGTTTTCGTACCATTTTGTGGGGGTCGGTTGGGGCCCTTAATGATGTGCTTTGAGGGTGTATTTGGTATGGATGTGAACCTTAAGTTGCCTACTTGTTCATGGATGTGCACCCCCACTCAGATTATGCTTGATTTATCGAGTTTTTGACCCCCGAACTATGGATGAAACCATGGTTAGGCTGTTTTCTGTTCTTAAGTGTGGGGGTGTGCTTAACATTTTCCTTGGATGTTTTGGTTCCACTTTGGGCTGTTCTTTTGCAGGACCATGTCGAAGCCCAACCTCCGGCATCAGTATGTTCAAGATTTGAGAAGGGGGGCCCACCGGGATCGTTTTCAGAACGTCCTGGCCTGCAAGTTTGGGCAGCATCATTACTGGTCGAAGCGCGAATTGGAGAAGCTCAACTGCTATGAGCACCTCTCCCCCGTTGTCACCAACAAATACTGGCGCCGCCTGCTCAGCATTCGCGCGACGGTTTACCATGAGCTCGTGCTTGAGTTCTACACCACCTTCAAGCACGCAGCCACGGCCCATTGGAAGGACGAAGCTGCAGTCCAGTTCCGACTCGGCGGTGAACCACGCTCTATGAGTTACGACGAGCTGGAGGATGCCCTCGGCCTCAACATGGTCAACGACAGGGACTACAACACAAAGATCGCCGAGCCTGACAGGGTGGACTTCGGGAGGCTGTACTTCAGCCTCGCTCGGCCTCGTCAGCTTCCCTTCAAGGCGGGGAAGACGAAGGCCAGCACATTGCAGCTTGAAAACCGTCTCCTCCATCACATGCTGGCCAAGTCTTACACCCCAGCCTCAGACAGTGCCAGCGCCATCACCAAGCGATCCCTGTACTTCATCCAGTCTATGCGCCAGAGGGATCATCCCCTACACTTGGGCTCGGTGGTGGCGAGGACCTTCGAGAAGAGTGCTTCTGAGCTGAAGAAACTCCACTGCACTCCCCTCATCACCTGCCTGGCAGAGTACTTCCAGATATCTCTGCATGGGTGCACAGAGCAGGGAGGGACCACTCCCTTTGGCCGGGCTACGCTCACCAAAATGCTCCTGCTTCGAGAAGAGCGAGGTGTCATTTGGATCGAGGGGTTTCCTCCACCTCAGATTCCAGAGGCGGTCCAGCAGGAGGTTCCAGAGGGTGCAGCTGATGAGGAGGTCCAGCCCGAGGACGTGGATGACACTGCTGCCGCCCGCCCCACCACCTTCGAGTACGGGGGTGGCAGTTCCAGTTTCCCGGGGCAGGATTACTTCACCTCCCAGTTCGAGCAGCTGCGTCTCCAGAACCAGCAGATCATCGGCCATCAGATGCAGTTCCAGCAGCAGTACGCGGCTCACCTGGCCGAGTACCACCAGAGGATGGCTGGTTACGATGAGAGATTGGACCAGCTCCAGACCCAGCAGGGAGTGACTCTCGCACACATCGAGCGAGAGAGGCGCCGTTCACGGCGCATGCAGGAGGTCCAGCAGCATTTACTCCAGCTGCTACCGGGCGAGCAACCAGTCTGGAGGACTCCCTGGGAGGACTCTCCACTTCCACCTCCCCCAGCGGATGGTGATGATGGTGCTGATGGTGGTGACGCCTTCATGAACGACATCGTCTTCGATCTGGATAACCTCGGCGACGAGTAGGCTGTACTCGTTGCCCATCTCAGTGTGTTTTGTTTTTCGTTTTAGACTTGTGTGTGTTTGCTCCATGTGTGAGGAGCTTGAACTTAGTGTCGTTTGTTTTTGTTTTTGTTTTTTTTTTTCTTTTGTGGATTGTTTTTGCTATAGCCGTCTGGGCTAGCACTTATCCCTAACACAGTGTGCTAGTGTGTTCTTGGTGTTCGATTCGTGCAGAACTGTCCATCTTCCCGTTTGTTTCTCGCTGACTGGTCCACTTCCAGTCCCTTAGCAGTTTCAATCCGGTAACATCGTTCCCCTTCTCTATTCCTCTGCTCCATTGAGGGCAATGTCGTGCTTAAGTGTGGGGGGGGTGCTTCGTATCGGTTGGGATGTATATATGTGTGCTTGGAGCCTAGTCCACTGTCCGAATCTCGACATTTGAGGGCTCCAAGTACTGTTGTTTGATCATATTGGCACTGTGTTTTGATTGATGAATTGAATGGTTTTCGGATTGGTGCATGACAGCTTGATTGTGACTAGGACAACCTATGATGAGGACTAAGACGTGCAGTAGAGTTGTGTAGGGGTTCAGTTTTTCAACTGTTTGCTTACCAACTGTGACTTGGATTGATTACTTGTTCCTGACAGTCTCTTACGCATCTAGTTCAGGGTATCAGAATGTGAGATAGAGCATATAGGTAGCCATGTGAGATTTGAGCCTACTCGTTTCTTTCTTGTGCGATAGATCCCTCTTCCATGATGTGTAGCATTCACGTGGTCACTAGCTAAGATGATGGGGGCATAGGATTAGCCCACGACCAAATTTGACTGTCCTGATGTGTCATATCCCCTAGTCAGCCCTTTTGAGCCGTGTATTATCCTTTCTTTTGGTCTGAAATGAAAAAAAAAATCACACTGTTTACATCTTTTAGAAGGTTCAACAGAGTGGTTTTTACATGTTCTCTGCTGCTTCTGCTGAATTTAATGTGAGTGTTGGAGGTAGTGCTTAAAAGTTGGGCTGGGCAGGTGTTTGAAATATATGCAGAAGTGGTGGATCTCTTAAGAAATGAAAAGAAAATGAAAGAAAAACAAAGAAAAATTGAAAGCAAAGAGAGCCACTACCAAAAATCTGAATAATGCCCAGTAAGTAGTGTTTCTTAGCAGTCTGGCTTGGAAATGCTGACATTTATACCTCCTTCGCTCTTGTGCTCTTGAGATATTGAGTAATGCAGAATAGCAAAAAGGAAATACCGGTTTGTTTGACTGTGATTGTTTGGGTTTGGAAATGTGGAACCTTGTGCTATGAATACTTCCACCACCTAAAAGGCCTTTTCCCCATGTCCAAGACCCTAGCCAGTCATTTGAACCTGTGTCTAAGACCTCCTGATTAGTTAGTGGTGACACCCTGTATGTGAACTCTAGCATTTAGAGGCTGACATCATGGTGAAGAGATGTTAGGGATTGAGAGAAATAGCATGCGCATTTTTCGCATCAAATTGTCCTGACCCCACTGGTCGAGAGTGAGTGATTCATTTTCATATTCTATATACTCTTGTACCCGGTGAGGACCTAGATTGCTCGGTCTCTATTCTGATGTCTTGAGTTGGATGCATGAGTTGACTGTTTTGAGTAAGTGGTTGAGTCAAGTCTAGGTTGGTTGGTGAACAGAAGGGAGACTCTTCCTTTACTCGATTTAGCTGCACTCGAATGTCCTTTGTGGTGGTTGTCCAGGTTGCTGTTGAAGTTGGTCATGTATTGATGTTTGAAAACAAGTACGATTCACGTGTTCTGTGCCTTTATGACTTGTCCCCAATGTTGGTTGATTGAAATATGTAAGCTTACCTTGTGTCTGACTTGGTTTGCTTGGGGACAAGCAAACGGTTAAGTGTGGGGGAGTTTGATAGACCGTTAATTACACATGTTTTTACCCCTGTTCTTACACCGTTTGAGATGTGATTTCTCGTGTTTTAGGCCGATTTCACGCTAGGGTGTGCTTGTTTGTGATATTTCAGGTCCTAGTACGTGAATGTAGGCTCGGGGGCGAGTTTGGGGTCGATTGGACGAAGATCGGGCGCGAGGCAAGTCACAAAGGAGGCCACACGGGCACACCCACAAATCACACGGCCGTGCAACTCATATTTCTGGCCGTGTGAGATTGTGCGAGAGCAAACACGGCCTGCCCTGACAACACACACGGCCGTGTGAAGAAGTGGCTTGGCCGTGCGAGTTTTGCCGAGAGCAAACACGGGCAGATGGAAGTCACACACGGCCATGCCACTCTGGCCGTGTGAGAAGCCTGAAAATTGAACTAAGTGGAACGCATCGTTTTGACTCACACGGGCAACTGGGTATGCCACACGGCCGTGTGGCCCTGCCCGTGTGAGTCGGGATTTCCTGGTTTTAACCCAATTCCGGGCTGCAAGAGGGAGAATCGGACTTTTTGAGCAAAAACAGAGCCCTAGAGAGAGAAAGTACGAAGAACACATCCTAGAAGCTATCTTGGAGCTGGGTTTCATCAAATCGAGCTTGGAGATCGTCCTAGGAGTGGAAATCATCATCCCGGAGCAGATTTTCCTCATCTTTATGAGTATGACTACTCCGATTACTGTTTTCTTCTCTCTCTCTATGGAGTAGAACCCCTCTCTCACTTGGGGATGAAGAACCCTAGTTCTATGTGTTAGGGATTGATTGTAATGACTTGGGATGAGATTACTGTTTGATTTTAATCGAATGATGCATGTTTATTGAGTCAATTGAAGTCTGAATAACTTTTCCTGATTCCTGCTGCAATCTGAGATAGATAGAATCTGATTAGGTTGCTAGAGTCTCATCATTCGATAGTAGGAGATTGGCTATACGAGAGTTAGCCCGTTTACTGCTTTGTACTGGAATCCAATTCCAGTAGTGGAGTTCTGTTCTTACTGCTTCAGCTTTCTATCCCGGTGAAGACTAGTCGTCTGTCGGGTAGTTAGACTGAGAGGGCTTGGTCAGCTTAAGAGATTCCAAGCTACTGTCGGATCTTCCGCAGTCTAATCAACAGTAAATCAACCCAGGGAAATACAATTGAAACCTAACTAAGGAGCTAGGGGGATTCATTCCCGAGTGACTCTTACCTGCTTGAGAAAACCGAATAATTTCCTGCTTTCTTTCTGCTTTTGCTTTTAAACAACAATCACATACTTTAGTTGGCTAGATAATAGAGAATCACTGAGTAAGCAGTAGACCTAGACCCCGGGTTGATAATATAACTTGCCTGTTACTGCATTCCCGGTCTGCGATTGCACTTGGTCGCAGATTGGTGTTGTGTTTTGGCGTGTCAGTTTTTTGGTAGCATAAATTAGGCTAAGAGGGAAGATTAGGACGACTTACCCAAGCGTCATCATTTAGGAAAGAGTGACATTAAAAATCAACTAGACAAACACATTCATTTATCCAAACCTTAAAATATCCATACATACATAATAAACCCTAAAACTAGGGTTTGGGGTTTAGAAACCCTAGTACCTTAGAGAACTACTCCATAAAGGAGGGAAGAAGATACATGGTAGAAATAGAAGAAGACTTGGGATAGAAGATGCCTCATTGCTCCTAGCTCCTCATTCTCTTATTCTCCCTTAAGCTTATCTCTCTTCTCTCTCTCTAGAACCAGAAGTTTCACCCAAAATCAGCTCACTTGAAAAGGGAGAAGGGGTCTTCTATTTATAGGCAACTTGGCTTCGGGGAAGTTTGCGGCCTGAGGTAGGGAGATTGCGGCCGTGATCTTTGGTCACTGGACCGTGATCTCAAAACTTTGTCTTCGAGGTGGATGAAGAGAAGGTGAATGCAATTCGAGCTAATCAGTTATGCATTCCACGTGCACACTTCAAGACTTGTTATTGAAGGAAGCTCATGGAGGAGGTCTCATGAGGTATTTTGGTGTAGACAATAGTCATGCACTGTTGCTTTGAAAGTAAATAGCCATGGTGTCTCTTCCATCCCCAACGTTGGAGTTCCTGCATTATTGGATTTTCTTCTCTTGCGCCAGCAATTCTGCAGCGAGTGCCGCGACTCTAGCCCAAAAATCCCTTTAAAAAAAAAAAAAAAAAACTTGGCCAGCTTATAAATCCCTCTCGTTACTGCGGCTACAACATTGTTTCAAGCCAACAACGTTTCTCAATTATACAACGCTGCGATGCCACGACCATTAAACACACGTGTTTTAATGGAACGCAACAATAGTAATAACCCACATCAATGCTTTACCTTGAGCGAGACGGAAATAACGAGCCTGCGAAGTTGCATTAGACGAAGCTCTTCCTTTACTCCGCATAGTTGAGCCCAAAACGCCAACGTGTCTGTTTCTTGATTTATGGCCAACAAGCTTGCAATCTTCGATAATCTCCATCATTGTCTTATTGCCTTCCTTTATTGTGGCCACAACATTGCTCGCCTTCTATACAACGCTGCGGTGATGATTATTTTTGACCCCGCAACGATGTTTCGGCCCCAAACAATGTTGTTTTGTTACCCACTAGCCAGCAACGTTGCGGCTTTGATTATCTAGCCGACCCTCATTTTTTTATTATTATATCTATCTTATTTATTTTATTTTATACTATTGCGGCCTGCTGTGTAGCCTCGCAACACTATTTTCTTTCCAAACAACTCTGATTTTCCTTCTTCTTTCTCCACTAATGGTTTCTTTAAGGCCTTTTATTTTTTTAAACACCTTTGCGACAAGAAAAAAATGCAGGAGAGAAAGGCCAACACCCCTTCTTCTCGGCGCCCCTTGTAGTGCTGGTTGAGCAGAGCGATAATGCTTTTTCAACACAGACTTGGTGTGGCAGCTTAATTTCCCCTCGGCATTGGAACTTCTATGTTGCATGGCCAAGCTAGCTGAATTTAATAGGCCAACTTCTCCCTTTTTTATTATTAAATAAATGTGGCAAACTTGAACTCTAAACAAACACAAACGTAGCCAAATTTTATTATATACCTCTACTACGAAAAACAAGTCTCCGTACCTCCCCTCGCAGCGCTGCGGACTCGCCCGTCCTGAACTATTTCTTTTCCCTTTTTTTTAAAACCAACTTTGGCCCTTTTTTATAAGTATTATCTTTTTTTATTTGTTTATTTTATTTTGGGCAACGTTGCAGCAAATTTTTCCATGGCGTTCTGACCCATGCCCACTACGGAAATAACAATAGTAAAATATATATCACTCACCGTTTAACTTGAGCATGGCCGAGAGCCCGAGACCAAAAGTGGCATAGCTGTATTATTATTTATTTCAGAACCATACAATGGATAAACCACTCCACTAAGGCCAACATTGTTGCAGCAGCCCCGCAACATTGTTCTCTTACCCTCTGTTTTTTTAGGGAGAAAAAGGGGGGAAGAGAAAGTTTTGTAGGGAAAATGTAATTCCCGATGCAATTTCCTCTGTTCTCCAAATGACTGAGGGAGAGATTATGGGGGAAAATTCACTGTGCCAGGCGCCCCCCCAAATCCGAGAGAAAGGATCGCTGAAGCTTTCATTGTATTTTTTTATTATTTAAATTGGGTTAAATAATAACTATCCTATTATTTTATTAATCGCCGGTACACGTTTCTTCCACCTAATTAAGGACTCGGTTTGTTTAAGCTGGTTTTCTTTTTGTAATAGTTTTTTTTACGATTTTTTTCTGTAATAGTGGGTTTATGATTTTTTTTTGTCATAGTGGGTTATGGATTAAGGAGATTAATTAGAGATTTTATAAAATATAAATAATTGGGGGCTTTTGACGTAGAAGCCATTTAATTGATGATAAGTGATTATTATTAAAATTAGTGTATGTAAAATCGTATCGTACGGTCGTACGATTCATATGGATAATTACTTCACGTATAACGTTATTTTACACGATACATAAACCTGCTAAAAAATTGTGTTACGATCCTTGTAAAAACAAATAAAGAGTGCAAATTTTCATAGAATGAATGTGATTTGTTTTGTGTTTCCGTTTTTAGTTGCTATGTCGACGAATCAATAAAATAGAGACAAAATTTTAACAATAGGTTCACAAAAAAAAATTAAAGTCATCTACTTTTGATTTTTAATAGTGAACAAAATTAGTAAGAAAGTACAAATTTAATTCACAATTCATAACCAATGAAAATAATATCAACATATAATCAAATTATTTTACTATTATATACCCAATAAAATAACATATCCATCACAATTCCCAATACACATTTTCCTTCTCACTTTTTTCCATAAAACACCATTTTCCTTCCAATTTCCTTCACCTCCAAATCTCTCCTCTCCTCCTAATTTTCCTTCACCTCCCCTCCTTTTTCTCCCTTCCTTCGGAAACAGAGGGTTAGTTTCTTTGTCCGTAAGGTTGAGCGGCAAACACCATTGTTTTCCATAAACACTAGCGTTTTATTTTTTCTTCATTTATAAAATAAAACCAACAGACTTGGCTTTTTTTCTCGCTGCAGCCTTGGGATCCTAACCACGTCATTGCAGCACTGCAATGCTGTTTAGAAAATACGACATGCCTTTCACATCACAACATTTTTTTTAACAACAAGCCAATTAATTTTGGCTTTAAATAATCTTGCTCGCTGTGCGGCAAATCCAAAAAAGAATAAACTATTCCCTAATCAACTTCTCAACATCGGCAGCTCTGCTTGGATTCATACGCAGTCCTATTTTGGCCAAATTTCTAGTAGCCTTGTTTGCGGCTGCTGCAGGGTTGCCTTGGCCCATAACAACATTGCTTTTGTAGACTATCGCTGCGTTGCCTAGGCCAAACGACAGTGTTTTACATTTTTCCTCCTTGCCTGCATTGTTGCAAGAAGCCCACAACGAGCCGAAACATAAGTGTTGTTGTGAAACAGCAACACAACTTGGCTTTGGCCACAATTGCCTCAGACAATACTGTTTTTTTTCTACCAAACAACGTTGTTTGGCCAAAATAATCCGCAACGTTGCGCTACCAGAACGACCATTCTTTTTCACTCTGTTTCGCACCCTGTTCGGATCGGGAACGACCCTGTTTTAATTTTTTTTACATATATATCATGAGGCCTAAGTTAGCCATATTTTATTTATTACTAATACCTAAATAAATAACAGACTAGACTTTGGCATAAACCATCATGCCAAAGGTCCACACCCACTGCCAACTCCACGGATCAAACCAAACAAGCCATCCGTGAATGCTATGACTCATCATAGCTGGCTTTACACGCCATTGATAAGTTTTGAAGTCGGTGTTAAAATTTAACTTTTAGCTCGTCCATATCGAACATACTTGTTTGAGATCCTACAAGCTCGATTTGGCTTCACCACATCCATAGGGTCATGGCATGGGAAATCACCGGTCTTTTTTACACTAGGCGAGACATTCACGTTTTTTGGTACCTTTGTCTTGCCAATTCGACCATGCGACATCGCTTGGCCAGGCTGGTCTGGTGTTGTCATCTTCGCACTCTCACCATGTTGTTTGAAGTGCTTACGAGTTTCATCAACACGTGGGTGGGTGCCCTTCTTATCATGGTTGTGATTTTTGTAACTATCACCCACCTTTGTATCTTTTAATCTCCTACGTGAGTTCGGAGTTTGTCGAGCATTGGACTTGCCCCGTTCAAAAATCATGGAAAACTTGGTCCCAACCAACACTGGCGTGGCAACCCAATGTCGGGTTTGATTGAGCTTGCCCCCAGTCCACTCAATGGAGTCTTTGGGGACACTTTACGTGGAGAATTATTTTGATTCATGCCAACTTTGGTGGCATTGGGTTCTTTCACGTGGCTACCACCCTCACACTGCAGAGTGTTTGTGGTAAACCTTCTCTGAATTTTCCTAGAACAGAGTGGATTTTGCAAACTTGTATGCCAATTGCAATGTTATTTTTCTTTCAACTGGTCATGCGGTGGGATCTCATGCCCCCTAGCGGTTTAGTTTGAATACCATTGCGATGTTGCTTTGACAACACATGAGAGTCGATCTTTCCATGCTCAACATCCACGTGAATAGATTGTCCATCTAGATTATTACTTTTAACGACACTGCTTATCCTCAAGTTGCCACTCTGCAAGTCATCTCCAACTTGTGTGTCCTTAAGAACAATGTTGTTAACCAGAAAAGACACGTTGGGTTTGCTCGCTTCTTGCAACACTGTTGTAGCCATAATCGGCGATAGAGTTTGATTGACACTATCAGGTCCACCACTATTGATTAGTTCGCGGTTGGCTCCCATAAATTCACTACCAGCCATACATTGCAAGTTGGTTTTTTCAATATTGATATGAGCAACGTTGGATTGACCATTACTTTGGTCACGACACTGCAAAAGCGATCGATCCACAGAAATTGACGGATAATACACTTGCTCGCTACTCACACGTGATTGATTTTCTAAATCATGCGTGGCTTTACATATTGACATATTAAAATCAGAAAACAATTATCCAACTTATCACACCATCGATCTATGTCTTTTTCAAATTTATCCATTTTCTTTTCAAGATTATCAAATTGGAGATTTACCTCTTGGTGAAACTCCTTTATGGATTGGCCAAACTCATCCATGGATTGACGTAGATACAGGATTTCAGCATGTAGCAGCTCCTCCATCCCTTGAGTACGTCTATCTGCCTCGTTCGCCTGACCAACTTCAATGTCGGGCGCCTCCTCCTCTACAGGTACTTGTGGAAGATCACGATCTTGTTTTTCTCGATGCGGAGCCGTATTCACATCAAACACACGTATCCCACCGGGTGTGCCAAATTTGTTTCCTGCGAAACCAAATATCCACCGCCGGTGCCGAATCTGTTTCAAGCGGTGTTGATTTGATTGTTTCGATGTGAAAACTCTTGCGGTGTCGTTTGATCGAATGCACCGCTGATTAATGAAATCGAGACAACCATCAAATATCCACCGCCAGGCGGTGTTGATTTGATCGGTGCAACTCTGACTACGATCGTCAAATATCCATCGCTGGGCGGTGTTGATTTGATCGATGCACCTATGACTTCTAACCAAGAACGACCGTTATTACGGTTCACACCTCTACAAACAATGTGCCAACGAGGGTGTTTGAGATTTTTGGTGGAATCTACGCTACAACTACTCCTATGGAGATTCTTGTGGAGAGCTCCGCGACTACGACTATGGAGATCCTTCCTGTAAGGAGAGCTCCGCGAAGGAGTTACATAGAAAAAGGTAAGTTCGGCAGATGTGTTTCTGTTTTGATTTGTGGTTGTCCCTTTCTCTCTCTTTGCTTCGCAACTTTTATTCGAAAAGCATCTTCGTAGTCTTCACGCTCCATGAAACCGCTTCCTCAACTGCTCCGTCGTGAACTCCCACGTGTCTTCACTCTTCTCCACGGTGTTGTAGTCATCAACCGCTTTGATCTTCTCTTTACTCCCTAATCTCACGTGCAAGAAGCTTTGTTATTTTTATGAGCCTGCGACGCCGTTTACGCCTCCACCAACAAAGTTTTCATAATGACGTCGTTGAACCCATTTACGGCAATGCTCAACTTGCAACACCGTCAAACTCACGACGTCGTTCAGCTCCTCGATGTTGTTTTGGCCTTGCGACATCGTTTTCAACTAAACGACACCGTCCAAAATAATCATTAAAAATATCAATTAATTAATTAAAACGGGACGACTTTGAATTTTAGTTGGACTTTGGCGGCCCTTGTACCAGACACTTACCCGATATGGTTTTTAACTAAATGACATCGCTTACCAAAGCATTGTTGATACTTCTCGCGGTATCGTTTTTAGCCAGACAACACCGTTTTCAAGTCTCGCAATGCCGTTGAGCTTTGAGCTTCGCGGCACTGTTAAAGCCAAATTAATTTTAGGTGTAAACAGGTTTCGAAACTAAGGCTGAGTAGGATGAGTGGAAGCGTTATGACAAAGTAGGGGTGGGCATTCGGCCGAAACCGAACCAAAATTATGAATACCGGGTCCCCGAATTCTCCCAAACCGAAAGCAAACTGAATTATAATTCGGTTTGGTCGTTTTAAACCGAAATATAGTTCGGTTCGGTTTGTTTTTTCACATAAAACCGAATTTGTGAGGTTACTTGTATCTTCTCACTTTTAAATTATTTTTCACCCCTAATATAAACAATAAATATGCAATTATATGCATAATCAATGATAAAATCAAACTTTCAACACATAAGCCATAAAATATTTCAAATATTTAAGTCTAAAAACAACTACAAACATAAAAATCCACCATTTGGAGGTTGCAATTATAGTATTTCGGTTTTTCGATCGGAATTTCGGAATTTCAGTTCGGTTGAAAGAACCCTGATTTCCGAAATATTGATATTTTCCTTCCGGATTCCGAACCGAATAGCATTATTTCTGTTTCGATTTGGTTTAGTTCGTTTTTGGTTTGGTTCGGTTCGGGTTTACCGAACCGTTTGCCCACCCCTACGACACAGCTTGGGCTTTGGGAATCCTCTACGTCCGAACAATTTATGCGTAATTACGTAGCACCAACATAAGGAGTAAGATTTGTCAAAAAAAAAAACACAAGGAGTAAGAGGCTTCCACGATGTGTCGACCGGGATTCAAGTGAGCTCGGAATCCAACTATCTAGCCGGTAAGCTTATAGGGTGTAGAGAGGTTGGTGACCGAACTGCTTTATTTTCCCAGTTGAAGGAGTTTGCATCATTACCACGGTAGGACTCCGACCTTAGCCCTTATGATCGCAACTGCGTCGAGACCAGCCATAAAGTACAATGAAAGAGGAGCGAGTTGGAGGCATTAACGGGAGCATTACCTTTATGGACAATAGCGCCAAGGCATGTAGGAGGTCTCGTGGAGGAGGGATCGATGGGTAAATGTGAATTGGTGAGGAACGTTAGTGTCATGCAATTGGGAATATGGGTTAACTTGTCTCTCCTCAACTAGAAGTGTAGGCAGAAGGGGGGAGGTGCTTCCATTTCTATGCCAGAGTGATGATTATGTTATTCGGGAGCTATTTGTGTTTTTTTTTTTTTACAAAAGATAATTTTATATTGATTCACAAAATAGACAGTTACACCCTGGAATTCAGCCAGGTCTGAAAATCAAAGGAACGGCTAATGGTGGGGTACAGAGAAAGGGCTTTTCTAGCCACCATATGGGCTACCATATTACTACGCCGACTTACAAACCGAACACTATAACCTGACTGGGTCTGGAGACAATTATAAATTTCTTCAAGAACAGCACCCATCCTGTTATCTCCAAGGTCCCCCCGATTGAGCTTATCAATAATGACTTTGGCATCACCTTCAAACCTCACATCAGTAAGCCCCAGCCCGCGACACCAAATCACCACCTCCCTAAGCACCAACAGCTCCACAACCATCGGGTCATCAATAACTGGGAATTGCACACCTGCAGCCAAACTGATCCCTCCTGTAGGATACACAAGAACCATTCCCCCAGCCGTGTGAGACCCCCTCCTGGTGGCCCCGTCCCACCGACAGATCATACGCGGGTCACTGTCAGTGGTCGCTCGATCTGAGCTAGGAGGAGGGCCTTGCGAGATGGAACGGGAAGGCAACCGAATCCATTCCTCATATTGCTGAACGAACTGGCGCATCAACACTTGGACCCCAAATTGTTTTCCTTCGAAAACCACCAAATTACGGGACCGCCAGATCCGCCAGAGGATGGCAACCACCGCCATAAACATAGTTGGTTGATTGATCAAGGCCAATAGCTTTTTGAGGAACAAAGGAAACGTTTGACGAGGCAATCCCTCACCCAGATAGTCCAACCCCGAGTAATCACAGAGGGCCCGAGCCACCGGACAATAAAGGAACAGATGCTCCTAAGATTCTGAACTATCCCAGCAAACCGGGCATCGAGGGTGAACTGGGACCTTACGTTCGATGAGAGCCTCAGTAGTTGGGAGGGCCTGGGAGAGGATTTGCCAGACAAACACCTTCAGTTTAGGGGGGATGTTTGCCTCCCAGAGACGAATCCAACTCGCTTTATCCATCCAGCTGACAGAAGATTTCCAACCACCCCTCCGCTTATCAAGGGTAACAACCAGGTGATAGGCATATTTGACCGAGAATAACCCATCCGCTGTCTCATGCCAGATCAACCTATCATCCATATTCAGACGTGGGAGAGGAATAGTTTTAATTGCTCTACAAGTAGGAGGGTCAAACCACTGAGCAAGTTTGTGATCGCACCAACGACCTTCCCCAGGACAAATAACCTCAGCTCCCTCTTCAGGAAAAATACAGGGGTTATACTGCAGGGGGTCCATCTAAAACTGGGGGATCCAGTTGGACTTTAACAGAGAAGCCGATTGGCCATTCCCGATATGCCATCTTAAACCCTTTTCCAACAACTGGCTCTCAAAGAGGATACTCTGCCACCCCCTAGGAAGGCCGGGATCGGGATGTAGCATCGAGAAAGGTCCCATTGGAGAAGTACTTCCCTTTGTACACTTGGTCCAGAAGAGATTGGGGGTCAGTAAGGATACGCCATCCAATTTTGGCTAATAGAGCCTGATTAAACTGCTCAAACCGACGAAACCCCATCCCCCCATCATGCTTGCTTCTGCACATATGACGCCAGGAGACCCAGCGAATCTTCACATGTCCCTCAGCCGCCCCCCACCAGAAACGAGCCACATGTTTGTCTAGGAGACGGCACAATGAAAGAGGCAATCTGAAGCAAGACATGACATGCAGGGGTAGAGCCAAAGCAATAGATTTGATGAGGGTCTCCTTGGCCGCCTAAGATAGCATTTTCTGCTTCCAACCTTGTAACCTCTCCAATAATTTCTCCTCCAAGTACCGAAACGTAGCCATTTTCGACCGAGCAAACAGCGTGGGAAGTCCTAGATATTTATCATGGACGCCCACTGCTCCAACCCCCAGAATGGTAGCCAGGAATTCCTGATCAGGCAGCACAATGTTTTTGTTGAAGCAAACTGCCGATTTTTCCAGGTTCACTCGTTGACCGCTCAATTCCTCATACTCATTCAAAACCACAATCAGATTCTCACATTCCTGAAGAGTTCCCCTTAGAAACAAATAAGAATCATCAGCGAAGAACAAGTGAGAGATTCTGGGGGCACGAGGAGCCACTTTAACTCTCTGAAGCTTATTTTCCGTAATTGCCTTTCTCAAGAGAGCCGTAAACCCTTCAGTGCATATAACAAATAACAGGGGGGACAACGGATCCCCCTGTCTGAGCCCCCTAGACGGTTTAAAATAACTGGACGGGGTACCATTCATAAGCACAGAGAAAGAGGATGAACGAAGGCACTCAAGAATCCAACCTTGCCAAACAGAGCTAAAACCCATCTTGTTCATAACTGCGAGGAGAAAGGACCATTCGACTCTATCATAGGCCTTTTCCATGTCAACCTTTAGAGCCATGTATCCTTTCTTACCTCGTGTTTTGACTTTCAGGTAGTGCATCAACTCATGCCCAAGGAGGATATTATCAATTATCTGCCTATCACGGATAAAACCATTTTGTCCCTCCGAGATGATATGAGTCAGGAAGCTCGCGAGCCTTTCAGCCATGATTTTGGTCATAATTTTGTAAACAAATTGGCACAAACTGATTGGGCGTAATTGTCGCATAGTCTCCACATCATCCACTTTGGGAATTAAGGTGAGCCAAGTGTGATTTAAACTTTTGAGCATCCGACTCGTCTCAAAGAAGGAAACGAATGCTGCAATCACCGAATCCCCAACAACATCCCAGAAAGCCTTAAAGAATTTCCCCGTAAATCCATCAGATCTCGGGGCTTGTTTAGATCCCATGGAGAACACGGTTTGCCGGACTTCATTGGGTAAGACTTTGGCTGTTAAGGCAGCGTTCATTGCAGGTGTAATACTGTGCGAAATGGGGAGATTGTCGACTCGCTCCGCCATATTAGGGACTTGGTGTTCGGAGGTGAAGAGTGATTGGTAAAAATCCGTGGCAATGGCTGCTTTACCAGGCTCCTCAGTGACACACTCACCAGTATCACTACGGAGACCAGCAACAAAATTCCACTTTCTCCTAGCACGAGTAACCGTATGGAAATAGGAGGAGTTTTGATCCCCCTTCTTCAACCATCGGACCTTGGATTTTTGTTGCCAGTATATTTCCTCTGCTTCCCATTGACGATTAAGCTCAATCTCGAGAGTTCTAACCGCATTCCAATCAATTGGATGTATCAACTTGACCCGTTCAATCTCCGCCTGGAGGGTTTTGATATTCCGAAGGGAGTTTGTAGTGCCCGCCCTAACCCAATCATAGAGCAGGTGGCGAAGCCGTTTGAGTCGCTCCCAAAGGCGAAACATGGGGGTCCCTTGGACTTCCTCCTGCCAAACATAATTAACCATAGCCCTAACTTCAGGATTATCAGCCCAACGGGCATCAAATCGGAAGAGGGGCCGGCTGTTTCGAGTATAGGCCTTGTCTGAAAGGAGGAGAGCACGATCGTCCGAACCCTGGTCCGTAAAATGCTTTACAAAGGTGTCCGGGAAACGGTCGATCCAAGGATGGGAGCAAAGAGCACGATCCAAGCGTTCACAGATACAAGCTCCCCCCATTCGACTGTTTGTCCGAGTGAATTGATCACCCTGGTACCCCGGGTTTGTTTTAGCGAGTTGTGTCTTGGGCTTTTAAGCCCATGTGTAAATCGATCATTATGTGAGAATGGCCGATGGTGTTTAAGCCCTGGTAGTGGATTGTAAATGCTAGGGTTAAGAAACTATATATATGTATAGAGAATGTACGGTGGAAACTTAGAAAACCTAATAAGACTTATAGCTCGGAGAGTTCTAGCTCTCCCGTGGACTAGTCCCAATATCGGGGAAACCACGTAAATCGTGTATCGAGTTTTCTTCTTTGTCTTCGTATACGTTTAGTGTTTTGATACTGATTAACATGGTATCAGAGCTATCGTCTTTGGATTCTGACAGGGTTTCGATTCGATTGAACTCCAAGAACTATGCACTCTGGGAGTTCCAGTTCCGGATATTCATTGAAGGCAAGGGCCTTCTTTCGTTTCTAGATGGGACGTCGCCGCGTCCTACTGTTCCGCCATCGTCTACTGAAGAGCTTGCTAAATGGACACAAATGGATGCTAAGGTGAAGTCATACCTCCTTGGCACGATTGATCCTACCATTTGCTTGGGGTTACGCTTGCTGCATACTACGAGAGACATCTGGGTCCATCTCGCCAATACTTAGACCACAGCCGACCCTGCTCGGCAGTTTGAGATCACGTTCGAGCTGGCTTGGCTCGAACAAGGAGACCTCGACGTGACGTCTTACTACAATTGCTATGGACCGAACAGGATTTATTGACTGCCGTCTTATGTTCCGCTACCGCCTCAACCGAAGTCATTCAGGACCGCCAACGAACTCGCCTGATGCAGTTCCTTAGTCGCCTCAAACCGGAGTTTGAGTCTGTTCGGGCGAATCTGCTGCAACGCGAGCACCTCAACCTGGATGGCATTCTCGCCACTTTGGTTCGGGAAGAAACGCGTCTTCGGACAGCAATCACTAGTGCATTCGCCACCCTTCATAATGATGGTAAGTCCCCTCCTCCTTGGCTTTTGGATTCGGCTTGCTTTAACCATATGACGGGAAATTCTCAAAAGTTTAAGGTGATCAAATCTGTTCCATCTAGTTCCATACAGGTTGCGAATGGTCAATGTTTATCTATGCGTGGGATTGGTGATGTTGTTGACTCCCATATGCAATTGTCTAATACTCTATGTGTTCCGCAACTTGTGTCTAACTTAGTCTCGGTTGGCCAGCTTACTGAGCAGAATTGTCGTGTTGTGTTTGACCCCTCGGGGTGTATTATTCTGGACCTGAAGACGGGGAGGCAGATCGGAAGGGGGAGTAAACATGGGCGTGTGTTCGAGCTTGAAGAATTGTCGGGTCAACCTTCCTCTTCTTTGTCATCTAGGTTTCAGTCTAGTTCGTCGGATAGTTCTCCAGTATTTTCCAGTGTAAAAACTAGTGAGTTTGATTTGTGGCATTCTCGGTTAGGTCATCCCCACTTGAGTTGGCTTGTAACCATGTTTAAGCAACAATTTTTTGGCAATAAAAAGGTTGATTTTTCTTCGAGTAAATTTCAGTGCACAAGTTGTGTTGAAGCTAAATCAACTCGTAGCTCCTTTCCTTCTAGTGCTACCGTTATTCCAGAACCATTTTAGCTGGTCCAAACTTATCTATGGGGACCGTCACCTACGGATTCCCGTCATGGTTACAAATATTTTTCTTTGTTCGTTGATCATGCCACTCGTCTTACCTGGGTCTATTTTCTTCGGCTTAAATCTGACCTTCTATCTGTTGCCACAGATTTTTTGAAAATGATTCAGACCCAATTCGGTACTACCATTCGTGTTATCCGATCGGATCTTGGGGGGGGGGGGAATTTAGTTCCAATCCTTTAGACCGTTTGTTCCGTTCTCAGGGGATCCTAACTCAGAAATCTTGTCATGGTGTCTCCCAGCAAAATGGTCTTGTAGAACGTAAGAATCGTCATGTTGTTGAACTCACTAGAGCCCTGCTTTTAGCCTCTCGTGTTCCAGCTCGATTTTGGCCTGAAGCAGTGGCCACAGCTGTTTGTTTGATTAATTACCAGATTACTCCCGTTCTTTGTCAGCTTAGTCCTCACTATGTCTTGTTCAAAAAGCATCCTGATTATTCTCGTCTTAAAGTTTTTGGATGTACTTGTTTCGCTCTTCTTCCTCGTAAGGAGCGTTCTAAATTGTCATCCAAAACTTCTATATGTGTTTTTCTCGGCTATAGTGACATCCATAAGGGTTATCTTTGCTATGATCAGTCTCTTCAGCGTCTTCGTATCTCTTGTGACGTTGTTTTCTTCGAACCTCTCATGTTTTTCTCTACTCCTTCTGAGGAATCATCCTTTGTGTCCGAGATGACTAAGTTGCCTGTATTTGATGATGCTGATGAAGAGGAGCCTGAAGACCCCATACTCCCCCTCGACTCGCCTGCCCCCTCGGGTTCAGCTGAATTTTATGGTACTGCATCAGGTGGGTCTTCTTCCACTGCCACCTCGCCTGAGTTTCCTACTCCCAGCTCGTCCGCGGCTCCTGTTGCATCTCCTACGGTCCTTCGGCGTTCACTTCGCACAAACAAAGGGCAGCCTCCTGTCCGGTATAATGATTTTGTCTCTTATCATGTGGATGCCATTGCTATTCCTACATCTTATAAACAGGCCATGCTAGATCCCAATTGGAACAAAGCTATGCAAACTGAGTTCGATGCATTGCATGCTACGGACACGTGGGAGGTGGTTGATCGCCCACCTGAACCAGTCACTATTCTTGGAAATAGATGGGTCTATGCAGTGAAGGTTCGCGCTGATGGCAGTCTCGAGAGGTTTCGTGGTCGACTAGTCATTCAGGGGTTCGGCCAGGAATACGGTCTAGATTACGATGAAACTTTTGCGCCGTTGCAAAAATGAAAACGGTTCAGACTCTTCTCGCTGTTGCTGCTATTCGTGGGTGGCCGTTGTTTTAGTTAGACGTCAAGAACGCCTTCCTTCAAGGTGACTTGAAGGAGGTGGTGTATATGAAACGGCTACCGGGATACATTGTTGGTCGTGCTGACCAGGTTTGCCGGCTTAAATGCTCTCTCTATGGCCTCAAACAAGCACCCCGTGCTTGGTTTGAGAAATTTCAGTCTACTGTGTTGGCTCTTGGTTTTCAGCAGGCATGAATGATCCTTCATTATTCTTCCGGTCCACTTCAGCGGGTCTTACTGCCCTTCTCTTGTATGTTGAAGACATGATAATTACGGGAGATGATAGGACTGGTATTCTGCGGCTCAAGGAGGGTCTCCATGCCTCGTTTACTCTCAAGGAGTTGGGAGCATTATCATATTTTCTTGGACTAGAGATTACATATTCCCCCAATGGTATTCTCTTGAGCCAACGAAAGTATGTCTCTGATCTGTTATCCTCGACTCAGTTTGGTGATTGTATTCCTGTCTCTACTCCCATGGAAGTTAACTTACATCTTGGCCGAGAATCTGGGGTTCCTCTGGTTAATCCATCTCAGTACCGTCACATTGTTGGCAGCTTAATTTATTTGACGCATACTCGACCTGATATTTCGTTTGCAGTTCATGTAGTCAGTCAGTTTATGTCTGATCCTCGGGTTGATCATTTGGCCGATGTCCATCGGATTCTTTGCTATCTTCAGGGTACTCGAGAAGTTGGACTTTTTCTTCCATCTACTAGTGATTTTCAGTTGCAGGCATATTCGGACTCCGATTATGTGGGTTGTGTGGATACTCGTCGTTCTACTACGGGCTGGTGTGTTCAGTTTGGTGGCACTTTTATCAACTGGCGCTGCAGAAAGCAGGATAAAGTATCAAAGTCCTCTACTGAGGCTGAGTATAGAGCAATGTCTGATGTTGCTTCAGAACTTGTTTGGATGCAGCGGTTACTGGTTGATTTGGGTGTTAATTGTCCTTCTCCCATCACCCTTCATGTGGATAATACTAGCGCTATTCAGATTGCGGTCAACTCGGTCCTACACGATAGAACGAAGCATATCGAGATTCATATTCATTATGTCAGGGATCTGGTTCAGGAGGGGGTGCTTGTTATTCGCCATGTTGCTTCTGCTGCTCAGCTTGCTGACATGTTTAGTAAACCTTTTCATCGTGCCCGCCATTCATTTCTTTCGAATAAATTGATGCTTAGGGATCAGCATCAATTTGGGGGAGGCTGTTAGCGAGTTGTGTCTTGGGCTTTTAAGCCCATGTGTAAATCGGTCATTATGTGAGAATGGTCGATGGTGTTTAAGCCCTAGTAGTGGATTGTGAATGCTAGGGTTAAGAGACTATATATATGTATAGAGAATGTACGGTGGAAACTAAGAAAACCTAATAAGACTTATAGCTCGGAGAGTTCTAGCTCTCCCGTGGACTAGTCCCGATATCGAGGAAACCATATAAATCGTGTGTCGAGTTTTCTTCTTTGTCTTCGTATACGTTTAGTGTTTTGATACTGATAAACAATTTGGACGAGTGGCGCTGAAAACCTGCGTGCATGGGAGTGTAGAGAGTGATGGTGGACTTGTTGGATTTGGAGGTCATGCGGATTTCTTAATCGTCCTACAACTTCAACAGCTTCATAACCTACTATTCATTTTTCCGTGGCGCAAAAGGAAGATGTGCATAATGAAGATTAGTAGGCGACTGTCTTGGCCTCGTGGCGGATCGTGCTTCTCGCTTAGCTTGAAGCCTTGAACCTCAGGACGAGGTTCTTCGAAGGGGGAGGATTGATGCATTATCATTCTCGATGGCCAATTATCGTCATCATTATTATTAGTTTGTGAGTCGGTTTTAGATATTGTTTAGGAATTGTATTAATTAATTAAGTATTAATTAGGAAGTCCAAACTATTCAAAAAGTGTCATTTGTGTTCTAAACTATTCAATATTACAAATCTGGCACAAACTATTTTTTCGTTAATGTTGACCAGCATTGACTGTTAGTATTTAATAGAAAATCTAGTCAGCATCTATGTGGTTTGTACTAGATTTGTCATATTGAATAGTTTAGGACACAAATGTCACGAAACCCATATAGTTTGTGCCAGATTTGTTATATTAAATAATTTAAGACACAAATGACACTCTTAGGATAGTTTGGGCTTCCTCGTGGAATTAGCCCTCAAGTATTTGAGGTAGTTTC